CTAAGCAAATATGGGCAAGCATTACTCGAATCTTGTGCTAACTTCATCTTCATGAATTTCTGCTGAGAATCCGGTACAACTCTGTGATTGAGGTAGCTGCATCTCTTCAATGATGTTCTACACAAAGGTTAGTAAACAAATGTATTATTTGTAAAGAAAAAACTATAGACATTCACGAGGAAAAAGACCAAAAATATGAATGAAACAAGAAACCTAACTGCAGATAATAAAAAAAGAAAAGAGTGTTGCCCAGTCTAATAAAATTGATCAATAAACGCATTTATATGGGTGAAAATGTGCGCTTTTACATTTTCAGAAAAAACAATTGTTTGAAAAAGAAAGTGAGTCTGATGACGAAGATGCCCACCAAGTTGCCTGTTAAAGAAATAAAACTTGTTTTTCTTGTTATTATTTTTTCAGCGTAAAAACGCTCTATTTAAAATTAATCTGACTGGCACAGAATAAAACTAAAGACTGTTATTTTAGGATTTAATTTTTTCATCATAGTCGCTGCTTTTTATTTTTCTCGCCATTCAAAGGACTATTTTATTTTCAGCTCTGAAAAAACAGAATTGTAGAAATGATCGTAAACAACGATACAAATCATGGTTATAGTGTTGAGGACCGTTCCGATGTATGAGTTTTTTTTTGAGTAAAATTAGATACATATGAAACTCAAAGTCTCTCTTCTAATATTAAATATCTTATATCTGTAGAAAAATCGGAGAAATGAGCATTAATACGTCTCTTACCTATCGTTTTGACGAAAGCGATTTACTCGATATCTTGTTCACTTCTAAAACGAATCATATGAACCTGATTGATCGTCTATTGGGCTGTGCCTACGGACAGGCGCTAGGTGACGCTTATGGTCTATCGACTGAGTTTCAGAAGCATTGCGAAGTGGCAATTACTTATCCAGATGCAACACAACTGATTGCATTTCCGAACTATGTTCAAACTCAACATTCTGCTCGACGGATACGTGGTGATTGGACGGATGATACAGATCAGTGGTTGTTACTCATGGAAACCTTGAGTGAACACGATGGCGATGTGAAAATCTTTGTGAGAAAATTGAATATGTGGATTCGACATGGGTTTCCTGAATTCGACGATTTCGGAGGTTTAGGATTGGGTGTCAATGTAGCTAAGGTAAACTCATTTTTTTTGCTACAAAAACAAAGTGAAATATCACTGTCGTTTCATTTTGATTTCAAATTTGAGTTAAATTATGAAGATCTCTATGGAAAAAAATATTTGTCGATGTTACGATTCTTCATTAATTAACAGATTGTTCAAACACACCACTTCTATGAAAATCCAATCGAGGTCAGTCGCAACGCTTGTGAGAGCACTGAAAGACAAGCAGCCCCGAATGGTGGTGTTATGAGATGTTCTGCATCCGCTGTTGTCCACTACAATAACATTGACAAGGCAAACTTAGATCGTAGTCATTAAGTTCTGTAGATTTTGACGATTGAATGAAGGTGTATATTCACCATAAACAAATTCAAAATGTTATACTATACAAAGATCAGCTGAGATATTTCTTAATTTGTTTTCATCGGTTATTTTCAGGTGAAATCAACGACTATTCAAATGTGTCAAACTACTCATTTCGACCCACGATGTGTCGCATCGTGTGTAGCAGTATGTCTTGCCATTGCTTATATCATTCGATCGCCTGACGATGATCTGGAATCACTCATCGGTCGTGTTCAACAAGAGACATTGACCACAGTAGGCGATGATCTTTTACCAATCTATCGAGAAGAATTCCTGTGGTATACCAGTCAAGATCGAACCTTAGATGATCTTCGTCTTGACGATGAAAAAGTCATCGGTTACACGTTTAAATGTTTAGCCGCAGGTTTCTATGGTTTAAGATCTACACGCTCATTTCAAGAGACACTGAACGATTTGATTCGACAGGGAGGCGATGCCGACACCAATGGAGCTGTATGTGGGACCATGTATGGTGCAAGACATGGCTACAAAGCGTTGCCGTCTGAATGGCTCAGAGCAATGCCCTATAAAAAAATGGTTCGATAACAAAATCCTCGCGTTGCTCAAGCGCCAGAACTTAACGTAAAGAATGTGATTGTATTTTATGCGTTCTCAAATTATTGGTGAACTCATTCTTATGCCATTCGAGATAACTATATTTTTCTCCATCTTTCACATTTCGAGATGATCAATAATCTTAGAGTGATTCATATAATAATTTTAATAATAAAAGTTTTCACAATATTCTGCTCAGACTTAAAATGTGAAACACGATGGAACCACTTAAACCATGGTGGAGAAGCTTAACTATTACTATCATTGTTTTTGGAGGTCAATGTGCAGCATATGAAAAACTCCTCAGAACCGTCACAGATATATTGAGAACCCCTAATGTTCATCCTCCACTTGTGATGCGTAAAAGCCCATAATACAATAGTAAATAACCATAATATCAAGATTCAAAAACCAATATTACCATTTCATGCATCTGCCATGGCTTATCAAGCAGAAGGGAATTCATTTTTTTTGCTACATGCTTTAAAGCCCTTAACTAAGTGTGGAGCTTTAACGTGAATGTAAAATAAAAGATTATAGGATTCTTTTAATCTTTAAACTCAAGTATAAACTTAAAATGTTTTATGGTGTAAGCCTTAATTACTAGGAATGAGAACAATAGTGCAGTGTCAAATGATTTTTGTTCACAAACAAAACACTGTGAACGTAGTTCCTACGGGGCTCGAATGTGAAACAAGATGGGTTCGTTCAGCTCGTGAACGAAAGCTCTTCCAGTGTCGATCATAGTATAAACCAGAATCAGGTAGACTATCATGCTGAAATGACTGTCACGATCTGTGGCTCTAGAAAAGTCTATAGATTCTGTCTGTCTCTCTGTAGCGTTCTGTTGTGTGAACTGAGAGAAGGAATAGAATATCACTTCTCTCGCAATAAACTTCAACAATCATTCTCCATCGTGTTCCACAAAAGACATTCGAATTCATAAACGCATCTCTGATTTGATTGCCAGATATTAATCTAAACCTTTTTAAATTATTTGATCAGTCTGCTCTCAATATGTACCGTCTTGCCGATGAACTCAGCTGTTCGATCGACGAGATTGGGAATCGCTTTTTTTTAATTGGGACTGGATCTTTCTGTCCATATTGAATCTTCACTTTCCCATAAACCTCGAATCATTTTTCTTTTGAATTCTTAAAACAAAAAAATAACTGCAGAATTAATTCGATTGAGAATTATTTCTTAGAAATGTGTAACTGATTTGATAGAGCTTCATGTTTAGAAACAACACTAGACACTTTGTGCAAATATCGACTACAACACTCATCGATGTCATCTCCGGAAGTTTGCTTTCGATCTCAATTCGAATCTAATTTCAACTTCGTTGAAATATTATGTCTTAATTATTGAAGAATTGAATTTTTATTTTAACGTGTCATTTTTGAAAACAAGTTCAAAGTCACCTACTTTATTTTAACTAATATTCTCATAAAGTGCATTAAACATACGCTTTTTGAAAAGTACTGTATCAAAAGAATGATTATGTGTTTTAGTAACGGTCATAGTTCGAGCGAAAACGTTTGAAAAAGTCATTTGTTGTTACTGCTGTCTATGATGTATAAAACTGACGCAGCAATACTTTTTATTCTTGAAAATTTTCGGTGTACGCCTCACAATATTATTTCTCAATGAATAACATTAGAGTGACACCACCAAGATTTTCCGTGTTTAGAGCGACAATCTTCAGATTGTATGTAACTTCGAATGTTTTTACAGTCTTCCCTGCTGATCATTTTAGTAAAAAGAGTGTTGGTTTCAGTGTTAGTGTGGTTGTTGACATTCTTTTCACGCACATTCTCACCTATATTCNAACTTCAACTTTGCAACATATACACCATAATTACAACTTCCAACTTTTCACCACTTTCACGAGACATAAGACATTCGTCAAGCGTCTCGCCGTTCCTCTCCAGCCTTCTGTATTATATTTTTGTTTTTTCTTTATAACATCTTAATAAAAAGGCTTTGACTCCAAAAAAAAAAAACTGTTGTATTTCATTGACCCTTTTTATCTCTCTTACTCATTCGTTAGTTAAACGATTATTCATCTGTTCATTTCTCTTTTTGTAACAAAATGAACGAAAAAAATTGTTTTTAGTTTTCATCAACTATTGCCAATGATATCTTAATAATAAAACAACAGAAAGCAAGTTTCATTGAAGAAATTATCTCTTGTCAAATAGTCATCTATCATAGATGAGTTATTCAAACTTTATTTTATCCTGAATAACAAACTCTATCTTATCGACTATGGAAGTTCAATTTACTCTTTAAATTATCGAACGTTTAACAATTATTTAAGTAATCTCTGTCAAAAGATAATTTAGTTATGTTCAATCTGGATGACATCCAATGTGTTATCATTTTTGAGTAGATTTTTCTTGAGTTTATTATATATATGATGCGAAATTACAGAATCATATCCGCTAATATATTCTCAATAGAAAGATCAACATCTGATCAATTAACATTATATGATACAGGCAATTCACTGTTTAGCTAAAGCTTAGAGATGTATTGATGAAACACTATTCTATACCTTTTATCAATTGTAAGACTCAACAATTGTTGAATTCAACAAAGAAAAGATAAATATTAATGCCATTCATTTTTTTTTATTCTCCTTCGATTTGATAGGATTTTCTGCAAAAATGTATGTAACCAGAGACGTAGAAAACAGAATAAAATATCATAAAAATGTTCGTTTATGATGGAATAATAAATTTAAAATGTTTGTGAACTACAATGTTAACTCACTTTTGTATTAAGAGTTTTTCTAAACTTTTCATCGATAATTAATTCAATAAGATTGATAATAATCATTGTCAAATAGAATTAAATGAAACATTGTTCTCATATGAAAGTATTTAATATTAGGACTTTCGTGTTCGGTATCTTTCTACACTATTGAGAAAATTCATTTCGGATGAAATCGGTCTTTTGCTATAAGATAATTAAAACTGAGGAATATTTCTCTTTCTTTTCTTTAGTGAAAGATATGATACGAATTCATCAATAATCGACATTAATATTCGGTATTGAAATTTGTCAATAGAAATATATATATGTTAATCGAGAGAGAAAGAAGGAAATGTTCTTATATTGATTATTCATATAAATAAATATGAGATTGGAAATAAATCGATTGATAGTTGAAAAAAATGAATCACAATATTTTCATTTTTGTATCATAAATATCATCTATAAGAGCTTGTATTACCGACCACATGTCAATGAAGTTGAAAACTAAATATTCCATATCGACTAACAAAAATGTTAGAATTCTGATTAACTTGTTCGACTGTTTTTACACATAGGAAGACAATGATGTCTTCCCTCCCTTTCACATCGATGTAACGCACAGGTGCTATGAAAATTTAGTGAACATTGAATTAGTCTGATAGGTGAAATGATGAAAGTAAAAATTCTTCCTAAAACAGTCAGAATTCGATGTTTTGTTGAATTAGATAATCGACACATTGGGTTTTCACGAGATTCAAAACACTGCAAGATATGAACATCAAACCATTATAAAGATAATATTAACTTATATGATTAGCAGTATTGTACTATTCATCTTTATTAGTTGGATCTTTAGATAATGTTTCTAGAGGATTGAATGATGAGATAATAAATGATAGATTTAGCTAAATTACAATGACATACAACATTAGAAGTATCATATAAGCATTAATTAACACTAATATAACATCCCTATTCTGCACCAATTAATTCGCGATGAGCAATGATCAAACAAGAGCTGTGTATTTGTATGAGACTAAGTTTTCGAGAGGTAAATGTCTATTCATTGAAATATTGTTAAGAAAAATTTCTCATCTATTTTCGATCTATGCTATTATATTGCCTTCGGAGACTAATTTCTCGTTACAAAAATGCTGAACTCCATACTACAAAGAATTCTGAGTTGAAGAAAGAAATCATTTTTTTTTGAACACTGTTGATTAATGTCTAGGTTATAAAAATACTAGCTGAAGTACCCGGCATTGCTCGGGAAAATTTGATATTACATAATTCACATATTAGAAAAAGACGTCGATATGGTCTTCTATTAGTTATCGGACTTTGATATCGAAAAATGGGCTCGGATCACTTTCCCTTTTGAACTTTTTCGTTTGATTGGCCTCTATTATTAAAATATTAAGTTATATCCAAGTATGTACTATAGCTAATCACCTAAACATATTGGACATATATTTATGACTAATGCATCATCACCATGAGTCAAGAAAAACGTTCATATAAAGCGATCTCGGTTATCAGTATCGACTATCACCTTCTAAATTGCTTTGATGAATGTTCAGAAAAATCGCTTTGAAAATCACTTAGGTAAATCCTTTAGTGAATGCTTTGAATCATTCCTACATTAGTTCGCAGTTTAAAAAAGCTTCTTTGCAAAATGCTGTCATCGTTTTGAAATCATTGATAGAAACTTGATCTAAAAAATATCACTGACCATTAATATATGCTAAAATCCGATCGATCAGGAAATAGATTAATCAAGTCTGGGCATATCTCCACACCTTAGAATCTCTTGTGTGCAATAGTGAAGACATCAGATCTTTATCTCTTTTCTTTGTCGACTTATTGACAAAACACTTGCATTTTCGGACTTTTTGGATGGGACACATACTATGATGCTTCAATAATGAAGTCACCGAACATCCCGGACATAGAAACTTCCGATCAAAAAGTAGCTTTTGATCCAGGAGCAGCACGAAGAGATAAAAGTAGAAGGAGGATGGTCCACAAGTCTGAGAAAATTCTCTAACACTTTCGAAAATTCAGATGATGCCTTTAATCTTCCTCTACAAAATTATTTAGTTCGATCAATTAACTATATAGAGGTTTATCATGAAAATTTTTCATACAGAATCACAAAAATTCGATGCAAGTATGCTTTAAATCAAGAATTCATTCAATGATATTAGAATCAAAGGTGTTATTTAGCCAGCCCGGAATTATTTTGGATAGAAAACCATAAACGAGGCCGAGTCGATATGAAAGTGTAATAGGCGCTATGGCCTGAATCTCCAATAAAGCATACAATTTTTGAAAAGATGTTCTTTATTTCGACTGGATTTCTTTTTCAAAAATCTTATGTAGTTTTTCTATGGGCTAAAAAAAACATTTCTGTAACGAATAACAAATATATAAGTAAAAAATAATATTATCATCATCTTAATAAACTTTCTCTCACACCTGAATTTTATTTTCAGGAAACTGTCTTCAGCGAAAGTCTAAAGTATTATTGTGAGTTTCTATAATGTGAAGACCCACTTATGTTATATCGTTACACTTTTCCATTCAATTGAATTATATTTTTTGATAAATTTGTAAATGTTAAATGGTTAATTGATCAATGCATCCACTTGTTATTCAAACGCAAGCGAATAAATTATTCTTAACATTATTAACATTCATTAATATATTACTTCAATCTGAATATGCTTATTTGCATTATTATCACTGCATAGGCATATCTTTACATAAATATAATTCAAGTGAAATAAAATAAAATATTATTTATGATTGACTACATAGTACCGAGGGATAAACACATCTATTTTCTCAGATGAACAAAACATCATATATATATATACTAAAAAATATTAACGTCTATATTCAGTAAAAAAACTAGTTATTTCCATTCTTAATATCAATAAACATCTATATGAGAATGTTCTACGATCGTAAAATGTTATCATCATTACTTTTTCTTCTATGGATGAATATTGCAGCGTCAATAACTCCATTACCTGGTCTCGATATAATTCAATCCGGTTTTGATGGCGTAAAAATGTTGAGTATTGAAGAGGAAAATTCAACATCTAAACTATTCGATCTAGGTGATATATCAGCAGATAACAATTTTATATTCAATGTACTTGGGATAGATCGCATTTATTCTACGTCTTTGAAAGTTCAAGTTACGAATATTGCTTTGAGAGTGGAAAATTATTGTCATACAGTTGCATATACATTTAAAGATTTCTGTTTAAGGTATGTGTTTCATATAAATAGATTTTGAGATATTAAAATATTCTGTAGTTATTTTCAATCATATTCATTTGAACACTCATCTATATGTGAAAATGGAACGATGAGTTCTAAATATCATACAATGTTGAACAATGCTCAAAATATTCTTAATACAACAAAACAAACTGCTATTATTTCAACAGTATGGTGGGGTCTTTATTCCATACAATTAGCTCCAACATTTTTACTTGAGTGAGTACATTATCAATATTTTTTTACGTTTAACCTAAAATGAAAAAATAAATTTATCAAAATCAGAAAATAATAATTATTCTAATATTGAAATCAATCTTTAATTTAATATATTCTTTTACATATGATATCTAAACTTCAACAAATGATTTTATCTTTGTATTTAGAAGCAATCAAAAAGATAAATACGAAGAAAATTGAGAGCAAACAACAGTCGACATTAATATTGAGGCTGCTACATGAATAGCTTTCATATATTTAACTTCAGTATTGTATAAACTTTTAAAACAGAGAAAAATAAGAAATAATATTATACTTCATTGAATCGATTTGAATAAAAAATGTCTTAGTAACTGGTTAAGTTAATATTTTATTAAGTAAAATTTTTGTCACAGATTAGAAACATTTATTATATTAGACGAGTATTGTAATGAAAACTGAGTGAAGACAATTTTTTCGTTAGTATATCTATGTGTATTTTATTTTAATCAATTTATAACTGAAAAAAAATTTAATTAAGATCATATTTTTCTGTCTTTCTTTTATCTGAGCACGGACTTTGATTCGCCGGGTTGGAATCATTGATGGATCAAAACTCAAATAAATTACAAGAGTCTCTAAATTTATTACGTATTACGACTGTAAAATTACTTTTTCTTTTCGAAAAATCTCATTGAATCATTTTAGTTCTTAGACTTTTCGTTGTAAAAATTTTCTCATATGAAAAAATTGTTGCAATATTTTAGAAATGTTACAACAAAATAGAAATCCAGTAGGTGTAGATGGATGAAGAGAAAACTATTATTCATATCTTAGATAATTATTTTTCATATATAATTTTATTGATATTAATAGTTGTTATATACTTATTAGGTTCAATGATCACAAACTAAGATTTTCTAGCTACATCACGTAAAATATCCATGCTCAAGAAGCTATCGTCTTTACCTAATGGTGTGACAAACTTTCGATAATTTTTTTAAATATATTTTTATTAACAAAATGTATTAAAAAATGATATTGCATCGGAAACCACCACTCGTCTTTTTTTTTGTACTTTTCCCAAAGCTTGTACTAGTCAAAAATTTAATATTGAATAATACTCGAAACGTATTACATTGTTCAATGTATTTATATATCATAACTATTGAATTAGTTTGTGCTAATTTCTACAAGGTAACGAGATTACAAAAAATTTATTTAAGTTTATTTATCATATATCAGAATATATACGTTGATAGTCAAAGCTCTATTCTAAAAGGATTAATTATTTTGTAGTTTCGATCCATGGTTCAACAAAAGTATAAAGACATTGAATAGTCGTGCTTCTGATCCTACTACAGAAGATCAACAATTATTATACAATAAATTTATTGAAACATTTGGTACTCACTATATATCATCGGTGATCATGGGTGGTTTCATCAATATATATACATTTATTAATCAGACTATTCATTCACAATATAATTATTCAAAAACATCACAAGAAATATCTCTGTTTATCAAAGATATGATAATACCTCTCAATCATGTAAGAACAGTGTTCAACGAAAATCGTAGTCGAGCAAATTTTTCATCATTAGAAGATTCACAGACATTCATTTTATATCAACCTCCAATAAAGAGCAATGGATCAAAATTAGACTGGTTTACTTGGACACACGCACTCGATGAACATCCAAGTGTAATTAATCGAACGTTAAATTCTCTCACACATCTTCTAGATGATTATCCTGAAGTTCAAAGTCATCTTCAAACGACCATTGATTACTATGAAAAACACGGCGTATTACCTACATTGGCACAATTAAATTACAAAAGAAGCTCAAGATTATCGTCTGATTCCTTGCCATTAATATCTGGAGTCGATATTGTTGGTTGTGGCTTTGATATTCTATCAGTGCAAAGTAAGCTGTGTCTAGTTGACATAAAAAAGACGAATGAGAAAAATCTATATAGTGATCCATTTAATATGTCACTAGCATACTCAGTACCGGCTGGTTTCTATGCCATAGATACTCCTGATTCTTTGGCACTTAATTTTTCTATTCAACTTAAAACAGTTGATGATTATTATAAACGTACATTTTATTCAACACAATCGGATAGTTTTGGATTTTTAGGCTTCGGTGCCAGTCATAATTATAAATCAGTTGAAACATTTTATCGACGATTTTATGAAGAAAATTATTATCTTGCATTACGATTGCTACAGATAAAATGGTATACACTTTCTATGGTTACTTTTCCTTATCCAAAGTTGAATAGTGTAGCACAGGATGCAATAAAAAAACTGCCAAACATATTCAATCCTAATAATACAATGAAGTTCAATCAATTCTTTTCAACGTTCGGTACTCATTTTGTTCAAAGTGCAGACATGGGTGGTCTTCTACAATCAGAGATCTGGTATAAGACATGTTTGCTGTACAAAAAATCTGAAACATGGATTAAAGAGGAGTCAACAAAGTCTTGGTGGTTCTTTTCAAGTAGTCAATCATCATCGTCTTATGAGTCATCAATAGATCAACAATTTAGAGAATATTCGATGTTTTCATCGAAATTAATTGGTGGTATTCAATTCATGAACACAACATTGTGGGAACAATGGGCACCTACCGTTAAATCAAATCCAAAGCCAGTACTATATCGTCTAAGACCTATTTATACTTTACTACCTGTAGGACATCAGCGAACAGCTTTAGCAGATGCTTTAGCTTATCTTCGAACAACTGCTGATACTAATACAAAAGAATATATTTCTCAACTAAAAGAGTTAAATCCACCTCCACAAAGAGACTGTGGTTTAAACAAAAAAAAACGAAATCTACTTTTAGAAGAATTGCACCGTCACAGACGAAGTCTAGCATCAAATGTAAATGCTGCTCGTCAAGCGTTATGTCCAATCGTTGGCTATAACGGTTCATTTTGTCCAGGAGTAAATCAAAACATAAAACCAACGACAAGAGTCATGACAACAATTACACAATTACATCGTGGTGTTGGTATGACTATTGACATTAGTACTGGTAAGCTAATGTTACCTGCATTGAAATTAACTTATTCATCCAAATCAAAATCGAAAATATGGAAAGATGAAAATGGCTCAGGTCAATCATTTTCTATTCCGAATGAAGTAAATCTAACACCAGTAGATGTCAGTCGAGATAATAAACCTACATCATTTATTTATCCTACTCCGTTGCAATTTGCTGATGTGTGGACTCGTACTAGTGGTAGTGGTAGTTGGTTGGGTGGTGAATTAGGTCTCACTAAATCAATTCTAGATATTAACTTTCAGCTCTTTTCTAAGCAGCAAGCAACAGCTATTACTCAACAGCCAATCGGATTGTATCGACTCGAAGTGAATAATTTAACATTAAATGAATATGCTGAAGAAGCTGTGAGCCTATTACCAACAACATATGATCCAACTATCTATAGTGATTTTATGGATGCATGGGGTACTCATATTGCTGTTTCAACATTAGTTGGTAAGTCAAATAAAAATCATATTAGTCAATGAACGAAAGAAAAATCCTCTATATTGCAATAATATTCTTGAATAAATGAAGTAATTATGTTCTTAATATTTTTAGTTTACATTTCTTTTCTCTCTCGGAATGAGAAGCTTTAGCATCAGAAAACTGACTCAATATATAAGTTACTTTTTCTCATGGTTACACTTTTGACTTATATGTTATTTGATAAACAAAGAATGGCACTGTTTTCAAACAAATATTAATCTTTTGCGTTTAATCCTTCAGGAAACGTATTAGTTAATAATATACTTTTATGAATGTAGTATATAAAAATGGTACAAAAAAAAGATCGAGAAATTTTGTAATTTCAAGAAAATGAGAATAATAAAAAAAACAGTGAAATCTTTCAAAATGCTTAGTCATATAGATATTCACATATTATCTGTTCAAAATAATCTTTAAACTGTTTTAAAATACTTAATGAGCTAACCTAGAATATTATCTAAGGTTTTATCTACAGGCCTAGCTCATGAAACTAATTTGAACACTCATAGCGGGTGTGGGTGTAAGAAAAATCAGACCAAAGGCCCACACTAGAGATGTCCATCGCGGCTCGAAATCTGTCGCTGCCGCGTCGCGATGAATTTCCAAAAAGTGTGCCGCTGCCGCGATGGTACTCGAAAAAAAGTTTCGAATTTCATTGCTGTGAATGTATTGAAATATAATTCTTGTCACTAATCGATGAGATTCATTGAGTCTTAGAGTGTTACGTCTGTGGACACTCAATTTTTGTGCAAATTCATGCAGTTTTTGCAATGTCTTCCAGAAATAAGGTGCCACCGCCGCGCCGCTGCCGCGACTGTATTGATAAAAAATCTCCCGCGCTGCTGCCGCGCCGCGATGCTTTTTCGAAAAACCTTGCCGCTGCCGTGCCACTAACCGCTACCGCTACCGCAGCAGCGGCAGCGCCGCGATGGACATCTCTGGCCCACACCCACACCCTTACGTTAGTTTAATTTTCTTAATTTTTAATTTTAGGGGGTATGATTGAACAACAAGTTGTTTTTAAAAAATGTATGTTATCAATGTTAGCTTTGATCGGTAATAATATACTAGAGAGTTATCTAACAGCGGATTTAACATCAAATACAACAACGAACAGTTTATATACTCAACGACGTCAGTTGACACTTAATCATCGTTTAGGAGGTAATCCAACAGCTAATGATCAAGCAGCATGGATTCGAACAATTTCTTTCAATCCAGCATTGTTAAAAATTGATCGTTACATTCCTTGGTGGGATGTTCTTACAGATACCAAAATCAAGAGAAACATGCAAAAAGCGATTGCCGATCGCTTAGATCAAGTGGCTAAAAAACGACGCCAGCTAGAAGCTCAAAATCAAGACGCATTAGGCTTGGGAACAGTTGATATTTCAGTCGGTTTCACACTGTCTCGTATAGTATGGGACAGTTTTTTTCCTCGTCAAGACGGTCAAATGTGTCTAATTTTCGGACCTATTTTATTTAATACTTCATCGCTGTGTACTAATGAATGTAACTTAGGACAGTTTATTGTAACCAATGAAACATTAACGGGTCTCGGAAACTTACTCACTTATAAACGTGATAATACTACCGGATCGTTTCATATTGTATTCAATGATTATAAAAGTAAGTATCTTTATAATGGGCTCAACAAAGAAGATGCGTCAGTACGAAAAAAAAAATATCAAGATTAATTTGATTAGAAAGTTTTATCTTTTATTAGAAACATAAGATATTGTGTTTAGATTTCATTCCTATATTATTTGATAAATGAGAACATCCTATTCTTTTGTAGTTCATAAGATACATTAACAGCTGTTGCAAATTCAGTTTCCGAGAAAATTGATTTTCCAGAAAAGTTTCTTCATCAATGCATTTTCAGCTTCTTTAATATTTTTATTATTGTGAATATTGAATACTTTCATGTTTTGACAATTTTCCATCGAATAATATTACAGGTTTTTAATGTTTTTTACTTGCTAGCAATTATTGTTCTGACATAGTTTTTCAAATATATTTTAGTACTATCAAATTTTATTTGAGTGGATGTGGATGAACAGATGAAAAACATCTACACCCTTACTTCAGTATTACTTAGTTTCATTTGAAATACTAGTTTGAAATTATTAAAATAGATTGATTCTTCAGAAAGTAAGAAAATAGTCTTGTCCGTAAAAAATTTCTTTTATTTTCTAGACAGTAAAGTCATTGTTGGATCAGAAGTTTATGGTGCAGGATGTTCTGCAATCGAGCCAAATAATAACAATAATAATATGCCGATCTTTCCAGTACTGGCTTGCTCGGGTTGCACACTCACTTCAACACATGATGGTTGTTCATGCCCGTGTCCTATATATTAAAACAGTACTAAAATTCATTTAATATTGTACTTTCATTATTATCTTATATTAAAAAATAAAGTACGTCTTCATCGTTTGCAAAATTTTAAGAAATGTTTAATGTAGATTGATTTGGGTGTGGGTGTGGGGAGATGACGAAGAGGTACCCATACTGAAACTCATATCTGTACCCACTCCTTCGCACTAACATCATATTCACATCCTTATCCACTTTAATGTAGTGAAGTGTATTCATCCCTGGATCAAAATGCATCCACTTGTTAAATCACGATCACTTTTCGCTTAATGAATCGTTGTGAAATTAAGCATTCATTAAAAAACATTTTTTTTTATGTTTGTAGATATTTTTACATAACCGATTATTAATATGCATTGCTTATACGTATTACTAGTCTGCCATTGTTTGGCCTTTATCTATGCCAAGGAACTGCCGGGCCTAAGTTATGTTGCATCGGGTTTTGATGCCGCTAGAATGATAAATATTAATGAAGTTTCGTCGAGTGATCAATCAAAATTTCGTCTTTTCGACTTTGATACATCCAATGGTGAAACTTATACATTGACTGTAGGTAATAAAAAACAAAATTTTATTGTTCCTTCTTCGGTACAAGTAACCGATATATCAATGATGACTATTGCAACTGTTGAATCTATCAGCAAATCCTTCAATGAATTCATTTCACAGTATGTATTCCTCTGTAAGAATTTTACGTGTATTTCTGAATAGGAAATATAAAACTATGTAAGAAAAAAAAATGAAACTGTTGCTTTTGACAAATTCCAGCGCTCTACGAACCAGAAATAAAGATTTTTGGTGAATCAACCAAAAACAAATGCGACAATTGATTGTTGATTTACTTTGTGATTGGTGTTTCTGAGATAAAGAAAACAAAATAACTCTGACTAAAATATATATTCTTCATTTCAGGTATTATTCCTCGTTTTCGTTCGAACTGAATATAGTTTTTCCGATTGAATACATTCCAGTGACAGTAGGACTTGGCGTTGATACTACCATTCGAGAAGCCTACCAAATGATGCAATCAAAATACACAGCAGCTGCTACATCAACTACATGGTGGGGAATGTATAGTATTCAAATGTTACCAGGTTACTTGCTAACGTAAGTTGTTTGTTGTACATATCAAAAGCGAGAGTGATTTGTATTTTCACAAAAAAAGAAAATTGAATCCATCAATTTTTCAAGAATATAAATTTATTCAATTTGCAAAAAGTGATAGTTTCTCTATTTACATATGATGATGAATTTTTTATTCAATAAGTAATGATGACATTAATTAATTTTCTTATTGAGAATATATTTAGTATCGATTAAATAGTATTAGTTTACATTTAATAAATCAAAATTACTTTAGAAATATGCAACATTGTGCTCACTACTCTTTACTTCTAATAATCGTATATCAATGATTAAAAATTCTTTTTTGTTTAATTTATAAGTTTTAAATTGTAAGTATGACAAAAATGTTTTATTTGTCAAACGATCATTAATATTATTCTGTATGATCAACATGTTGCTAAAATCTTTTCACTTCAAATTCAAAGCAAAGTTATCTATTAATTCTACGAATTTTTCAGGTTCAGCTCGGCCTTTAACAGTAGCCTTTCAAGACTAGTGCCAAATCCTACCACTCAACGCCAACAATCATTTTACAATGAAATTGTGGCAACGTTTGGAACTCATTATGCTTCATCAGTCATTGTTGGTGGTATTGCACATTATTATACATTTCTGACTGAAGAATGGCAGCGTCAAAGCAGCCAAAGTTCTACCGAAAATGAGATTTCAATAGGTTTTCATCTTGGTTTCGATATTCCGCTTGGCAATGGTATTTCCATTGCGCTTGGTGAAGAATTTGGTGGTATTTCATTCGGTGGTGGTTGGGGATTTACTGGCGGTGTTCAATCAGAAACGTTTAAGAAAAATTCAGTTATCAGATTTCTTTTTCGGCCAACGCCTGTAGGTTCATTCTCCTCGATGTACAATCATACCTGGGCAACATGGGCATCTCAAACAGCAAATCAACCTGTTGTTGTGAATCGAACACTTTTTCCTTTGTCGAATCTATTAGTTGATTTTCCTACCGGTATTGCGGAACACTTGCAAATGACCATAGATTATTATCTTAAGACCGGTAGCTTGCCAAAACTTATTGATATAGTTCACAAAGAAAGGCTCTCATTAGTCTCATCAATGTCTATTCCTGGTCTTGATGTGGTCGGCTGTGGATACAATATCATAGAACTTCTAAGTAGTAAACAGTGTCTATTCAACATGACTTATAACGAAAATAAACTCTGGTCGAACGTTTTCAATGGTCATAGATCGTATCGAATTCCTGATGGATATTCTGTTATGGGAACACGGGAATTCTACTCGACATACGACACTCAGATATTTGACAATTACCATAAATTTATACAAAATTCTATTTATATGAATGAGCAGGACGAAGCAAAATTTCTTGGTTTTGGTATGTCACACGAACGTACGGAAATTGTAACGCGACTTCGAAATATGTATAAACATCTTTTAAATCTTGCATGGACAAATCGAAAAGTACTTTGGTATAATCTCTCAATTGTGAAATTTTCTACTCCACTACTAAGTTCTGTTGCTAAGATAGCTTTGAATGATCTACCATCGATCTTCAAAAAAGAAGATTTTCAAAAGGTTTGGAAGAGATTTTTTGACATTTATGGTACACATTATGTGGTGAGTGCAAACTTTGGTGGTATGGTGTGGGCTGAGGATTATTTGGACCCATGTATGGTCACGAAAAATTCATCACAATGGATTAAAGATCAAATTAAACGATCTTATTGGTCTATTTCGACTAGTGAGTTTAATAGTTTGTACGTACCTGTTACCAGTCAAGACTATCTGCAGCATCGTGTATCGACGATCCGTATAATTGGTGGAGACGATAACTTGAAATCTTTTCAGCTTAATAAATGGATGCAAACAATCAAAGATAAGCCGGGTGTTATTAGCTATAGCCTTCAACCTCTTTATACACTTCTACCTTTGGATACACAAAAACGAAAGGCATTGGAGGAGGCCACTCTTTATATTCGACTGCAAGCGATCAATACGACGAATGCTTATTTAAATAACCTACAGTTCATTGAAGGGCTATTCCCGGCTCCTAATATAGACTGTTCTTCTTCTTGGCAACGTCGACGCCAACACATGTCGAAACAATAATTGATCAAGTTAATTCTCTTTGATTCCATTTAATTTTTCCAGCTTCAGACACACAAAGTGAATTATATAAAAAAATAAATTCTTAAGAGATGACTATTTATTATAAAAATCTTTTCGTCTTATTATTAAAATAAAATAAAATAAATAATTATCGATCAGGATGAGCAGCCTAATCAAGTATCTTTACGTTTAAATTTGAAAAGTGTATTTGTGCATTTACATCAGTTTATGTTGTCAATCAAAAGCAAAGATAAATATTACGGATAAAAGTCTGTCGTTCTCACCAAGATAATATTTAGAAAAAAAAAATACCCAATCATAGCACTATCAATGCATCGATCTGAAGCTATCATCTATTGTGCAAATGTTAACTAATTTGAGATGTTTCAAAAGAAAAAGATTATGCTTCAATGAACATTGCAAGCGAAATGTAATACTTAAAGTTACATTCCCTTGAAATGTCGCTGAATAATTAAAAAGCTCCTGTTTTAGTTAATGGTAATTAGAATCTAAAAATTTTCTATTGGGACACGCTAAGTGAGGGTATGGGTGTGGCTATGACTCTTTACATTATCCACATATACATCCACACCATCGTTCGACCATGTTAGCTTGAAAATTCTAAATATGTTCGATCAATATTATTGCCAAATGTTAATCAACTAACAAGTTTGGGTCTCGCTTCCGAGATAATGCGTAACACATAAGTGTTTCATTTCTTTTATCAGGAACTAATTTTTTATTTGTTTCGATCTCTAGTATCCCCACACCTATCCTAAACGCGTAGAAACACAGAAATGTTAGATAACTGCTGGCTAGTGATATTTGTTCAAATATTCTGGAGGAAAAAACAACGTTATTAAAAAACGCCTAATTGAAATAAGTGTCGCTGTTAGGATCCTCTCCTTAGAAATTAATCACTCTCTAAAGTTGTTTATTACTTTTTTTCTTATACTTTACCAAAAATTGATTTCTTGTAAACAATTATTTCTTTCGATAATGGTAATAATCCAATTCTTATCCTCTGACCAATTAAATTGCTTTCAACAACAGATTCTTTGTCCGTAAATGATCGAGTATATACATATATATTTATTGACGCATGGCAAGGAACATGCCATGGGACAATACTAGAAGTAACCATATTTAGAACATATTATTTAAAAGCTTGCTTTTTGAATCTAGAATCGATGTTAAATTTCCTCCTGCTCGTGGCTCTGTTTGTATCAGTACCTCATTGGAAGAAGAAACAACGAACGTTAATAAGTTCATAGTTGTTTGCTTTACTTGAAATGTATTGTTTAAAAAAAACCAGAATACTATGTAAATGTGTTATAACGACCAGCTCTTGTTATATTCATTCTTGATGCCTTAACTCGTTAAAATGAATGAGTGTTCATATTAAAATGCATTACTTTGCTTAATTTATTTATTGCGTAAGTTAATACATGTTCATTGACCTAATATGTCCGTTAAATCGGGGAAAGTGTTACCGTGAAAAATACTGTTTACACAAGTTAATTTCTTTTATTCGTCAAGTAAAGAAGTTTTAAAGCATGGTTTTCTTCAATTTTCACCTTCAATGCGTCGAAACAACGCTCTGTCTTTTATCCATCTCTAAAGGCAGCAAACAAGAAGAACAAAAGCGCACAATGACATCATAACGGAAAGAAAAGAATGTGTCGCTGGTTTGCTTACATCGATGAAGAGCCTACTCTTCTCGAAGATATTCTTATCAAATCAAAACATTCCATTATCAAACAAACCAATGTGCATTTTCTTTCAAACCTTCATATTACTTATAATCCTCATCTTTATCAAACTAAACTCAACTCAGGTAAAGCATCTGACGATTATGATTCAAACCACTTTATTAATGTTGATGGCTTTGGTTTGGGTTATTATACAGGCGTTGCCGCTGAACTCAATGATGATAATGTGAATAGACCATGTGTCTACAAAAACACTCACCCACCGCTTAACGATCTCAATCTGATCTCATATATCATCGAAATGTGTATTTGCACATATTTGTGCTGAACTGGTCTGTCACCAATAGCAGAAATAAACAATCATCCATTCGTGTTCGGTCGATATTTGTTCATGAACAACGCAGTGGTGGCGAAGTTTTCGAAAATCGAGATTCCTCTATTGCAAAAATTATCTGAAAACATTTATGGAAATATATTTGGAACAACAGACACAGAGCATGTTACTGCACTTTTCTTTACACATTTGGGAAACGATTGAGATATAGAATTACCCATGGAAAACCTCAAGAATACTATGATAAGGACTCTTCAGGACATACTTGCTTTAATTCAAGAGAGTGCCAAGGACATGGATAAAATGCTTCTACACAGTTCTTTTAACTTTGCTGTAACAGACAGTTGCCAATTACTCGCCATTCGGTTCTCGTCAATGGATGAGTTTGAACCTTCTTCTTTATATTATTCGACTACAGCTGGTCCTACCTACAATCGAAAATTTCCAGATCGTCCTGATGGAAAAGAAGTTACAAAGAAAGCAATACGAGCTACTGACGAACACGGAAAACATGTTATTGCAGCTAGTGAACTAAGCACATATAAGATGGGAGATTGACATTTGATACCATCGAATTTATTTGTTCTTGTTGGTAATGATTTGAATGTTGTGATTGAAAAAATTGATCTGTGAACTTTTCGACTATGTCCATCTTTTGATATTTATGAAAACAAATATAAAAGTTTCACCTCTTCGAGAAAAGTTTTACGTAGAAAAAGACCGAAGAGGAAACAGAATACTGCACAGATTTATGAAAACAAAAAATGGAATTTCATAGTTGTACTTTTATTTAGTATTGGTTTCACTTTGACGCATATCAGCTACAGATGGTGGAGAGATTACAAAATCCAGAAGGTTTTAAACAATATGAATTATTTTTTTATAAATATAAATGGACAGTAATGTTAGTCACACTTGGACCCGGACCGGTTAGTTTTCTTTCGATTGCTAGGGCCATGAAAATGTCATAATTTGCTCCTTCTTATTGATTTTCATTCTGTTAACGATCTAGAAATATGAGTTTGAAAGTCACCAATTAAACAATTTCTAAAGGATGATTCAAAAGTTTCGATCTCTCTCAGTAAATCGATGATATCTATGACAAAATTATATATAGTTAATTGATCGAAATAAATAATTTTGTTGAGAAAGAGTTCAGATATCATCTGAAAAAAAGACATTTTGAAATCCATAGCTATTGTCAAATGTTATAGTTATTTTACTAATCTTGAGTAATTATTTTCATTCAAAAATTTTTGAGGAGAATTTTAAGGAAATTTTCAATAAAAGATTCACATGATTTATAAGTTTGTCAGACTTACTTCTTGTATAAATACCAGTAATCAAAATTTCTCATATGTTGACCTTATTTTCAATCTTTTTGGAATAGTGTTTATCATTTTCTCACAGTTTTTACATTTTCATATTTACTTAAACCTTATTGAAGGATGCCTTATAAGTTTTATATTGACTAAATTTCATGTAGTTGACTTTGACAAGCATATTGAGACTTATTTAAATAAAACTGTCAGAATGATAAATCTAAGTAATTGACATATTAAAGAATAAATTGGAAAAAGTAAACTTCATAAAATAAGATTGTTAGAGCGAAAGACTTTAACAATATGAATAATGATATAAAAAAATAATCATAATCAGCAAATATAATGAATATTATTCCATTAAAATGGCAAGTCTTATAAAACAATCCATGAGAGCAAAAGATATAGTTATTATGAACTTTTTTAAATATTTTCTTAAAAAATGTAAAATGAAAATTTCTACTCAAGTTTAGTAAAATAACCATAATATTAGACTATATTTATGCATTTTGAAGTGTCTTTTTTTCAGATGATGATTCTAATCTTCCTCTACAAAATGATGTAGTCCGATCAATTAACTATATATAGGTTTGTCATTTATATACTCAATCTATTGAGAAGGGTGAAACTTTTGAATCATCCTTTAGTAATTATGTCAACGGACAAAATGTTCTATTTGATAGTGAATTAATCGTTTCAAACTAAAATTTTTCATAGATATGAGAAAAGTTCGATGTCAGCTTGTTTTAAATCAAGAATTCATTCAACGATATTAGAATCAGAGATTTCATTGGACCAGAACTTATTTTGGATAAAAAATCATGAGCTGGGCTCGCCTAATTCCAAATTGCGATGGGCGTCTATGGGCGGAATCCTGCATAGAGTGTGAAATTTTCAAAAGATGTTGCATATTTCGACAACATTTTTTCAAAAGTCCGATATGATTCTTCCACTGGCTACAACGTTTCTGCAAAGAACAGTAAATGAATAAAGTAAAAGATGATATTATCGTCAACTTAAAAACCTTCCATCCATATCCATCCTCACACCCGACGCCCACACCCTTTCATACAGGTCTTCCGATAATCTTGGATTTTATGGAAACAAATCAAACACAAAATTATTGTGAACAATGCAGGTATGTTGAGAATTAAGTTCTCTACAAACTGATATGCTTGGGTGCACACTAATTGTTACTCTTGAACAAGATAAGAACCTATGTTTTCAAGTGCAATTTACAGTGGAGAAATATGAAGAAAAAATTTTTCGTTCTGTTACTTTATATGCATGGTGTATGGATATATACATATTTATATACGTCTCTCTGTCCTTCATGATTCGGCGTATATAAATTCACAGAGCGAAAATTTTTTTCTTCCATTTTCTCCACTATAAATTGTACTTGAAAACATAAGTTCTTATCTTGTGCGACTATAACTATAACGACTATTATGCACTCAAGCACATCAGTTTGTAGAGAGTTTAATTCACTACAAGCCTGTATCGTTCCATAAATTTTGCGTTTGATTTCGTTCCCTAACAACGAAGATTATCGAAAGACATGTATGAACTACTAATTTTAGCAATTAATGTCTTTTATACAATGATTTTTAGCAATCAAAAACATTATTCGATTCAGTTTGCTTTTCTTTATCAAACAATGTTGTTTAAATTAGGTTTTCATGTTATCGAACCTGAAAACTTAACTTCTCTGTAAAACCCATAGAGCTTCAGTTACTTTGAAGTTTTCGAAGTTCGATCAATATTTTTTTCGGTTCTAACACACAACAACGTGTAGGTGATTGTTTTCTCTATCGAATGATATATAACTCAAAATATTTTAATGCACCATAAATGCGTGATAAAAAGAAAATAACAAGTGTCCCAATAATTTGTTTGCATAGGAAATCAAGCAGTTTAACGAAAATCTTTGAAAGTTGTATGAGAAACTTGCTGAGCGACTTTTCATGTTTTACAATAAAGTAGAAACTTCAATCTATCGAATGGTATAATCAGAGTCGAGAAAATGTTTTTTTTCTTGTTTGTGAAATTCACTTCACAAGACAAGCATTACCGGATGTACAAATACTTATATTGCATAATGTATGTATATGATGCTAGCTTAACTCATTCTCACTCTCACCCACATCCTCAAGACCGAAGAAGAATGATACTGATTCGAACTCGATGTTTACATCTCACATTTGAACAAATATTTTCTGATTTTCCATTTTCGAAATCACTGTTACAGAAAATGAGAAGCTTCGATATGTGCGTCGAGAAAGAAGAAAAGAAAAAAAAAAGTTCGCATTATCAGAATAAAATGCTGCACTGCGCACTGCAATAGTTATTGATAAAAAAAATATTGCTGCGCAAGTGTTACTCACTTCCACGAAGGATCGAGAATCTGCGCAATAGTGAAAAAACACAACTCTCACAGCAGGTATAAAAAGCTGTCACTTCTTTTCGTTACTATTCATTCGCTCATACAAACTCACTTCGCATTCACAAACGTACTGTAAAATTTACTTCAAGCAAAGCTCATCTATATTCACATTTTTTAGTCCACAGCAGTTTATCGATATGTCAAATACAAGCGGTCAGACAGACAGCAGCAAGACTAACGATGCTGCATGCTATGTTACCGGTTATGAACATGCCCAACAGGACAGTGCACCGAAAACCGTCGGTGAAACTGTCGATCAAGCAATAGATATCGTGCAGTACAGTTGTACATCAGACGATGGCAGCAAGGCCTATGGAGAAGGATATGAAGCGGGGAGGAAATAATGGTCATCAAACAACCACAGTGGATTATTGAATTAGTTAACCCTTCTTCTCATATATGATATTAATCTAGCATAATTAACGATTTCCTCTTTCCCTTTTTATGTATTGCTGATTTAATATTGTTTTGTATTTCCTTTATCCTTCTATTGTAATCATGTTTTTTTTTTCTAAAGATACATCATTAATATCGAAAAACAGATAGACCTATCTCTTGAAAGAAAGATAACTTCCATCTGCTAGCCTCAACTCTTGCTTTTCAACAATCGACTAAGCCAAAAATCGAATAATGAAAGGGCAATAAATTAATGTGCTTTGTATAAGTTATAAAAAAAGATGAATGTAGAGCTTAATTCGTCGACATGTTTCGTGTTTTTTACTGAAGCACAGACACTCATCTGGCTCTGCATCACAATTTTTAAGCACTTAAATGCAGAAACTAAAAGTTTACGAAAATAAGAGGGTTACAGAGTCAAAAAAAGAAGCGAATAGTGTGATCGATTCTATCCGTCATCATTCTTCATGGATGTGTTCAAGAGTATATGCCAAATACATATATATGATCCATCAATTATCTTCTTTTCATACAGATATGCTCTTATACATATATTTATTCATCTTTATCTTTTCTCTCTTGGTATGCTGTGTCCGCCATATTGTTGTTTGTTTTGTATGTATTATATTCATTCAAAAATAAAGCAGAAACGAGTAAGTCGTTCCATCACATGTGGTGATCATAACAGTCGAATTTTAGTTATTCTTCTTCTCCGACAAGCAACTGCTGTTGACTTTTTATTCTTTTTTATTTTATTTATTTCTTGGTTTGATGTTCCCACATTAGTACTACCCCATTTTAATTATGACTGAGTCCGACAGGTAGAAATTACAAGATTAGTTGACTAGTCTATTAGATAGAATTCAAACTGAAGCAACACGTACACCTTCTCTTGAAACTACGCTGCCTACCATACAGTCTACGGTGAGTCAACTAGAACAAAATCTCAGTGATTGAGTAAATAGTCTATCTTAAGCTCATGATCTTAAGTATCAACAGCTGGATCACACGATTCAGCACTTGGATATGCAAGTACAAGATTTTCGCCGCTATGTTTCTACAGAAATATCTGAACCAACAGCTGAACTTCGTGCAAATCTTCCTACTGTCCGTACTCTTTCATCTGTATCCACACCATCTACTCTGTTGTTTTTCGTTCTTCTAACAACTCTATTCATTTCGGCGCTTTATTGAAGATTCCTTCTTCCCATGACACGTTACTCTCTCTTTCTCCACGACAAACAGTCATAATTCAATAATCGACAACAGGCCCTTTTTTTAAGGTGAAACTGATGAAAAACCACATCCCTTTCTTCTACAACTTCATCAACATGTAAACTCAACTTATGGACGGGACAAGGACATGTTACTTCAACCTGTTGGTCACTTTTTGAGAGACACAACCTTTGAGTGGTACAGCCAAATTATCACCAATACTAGTCCTTCTACCCACTAGGACACGTTTCAAGCTCTTTTCTTGTGACAAATTTCTTGTTCGCCTACTTAGTCTTTAGTCTGGTCACAAACCACATGAAACGGGATGAGATCTCGCTAGGCATCTCTTTACTAAAATTTGCGCTGAACTAGTTTCTCTGATTGTTGCACTAAGCGATCCTACTCTGGAGAATTTTCTCGAACGAGCTTGCGAGGCCGAACTTATTGATTTCTCCTGCTTCAAGCAAACTTGGGTGTGAATGTAGGTTTTCACTTTATGTATATGTCCTATGTCTTCTACCTACACCCATGTAACTTTGACATTTATTTTGAGAAACTGCAGTGATATTTGTCGTTTCTTCTTAGCACTTATATGTTAGAAACAATCTTCACTATAAAGACTATTTGATATTTCTGGTAATGCTTGTAAACTGATTTTTTCCATAATCGTTACATTAACTATGACAAAACATTTCTGAAAGATGAAAATACTTCAGGATGTTTATAGAGAATGACACATTCATTGATAATGATCTAATTTTGATAGCATGTACTGCAGACTATCTGGCTGTCTTTTACTCTAAAAGATCGATTTTTTCGCGAAAAATGGTTGTTTTTAAACAAATTCTACTCATTTAAAAAAAAACTTTTCGTAGCAAGAATCGACTTCTTTCATCAGAAATCCACTTTTTCGGAGAAAATAAACCTCAAATCATGTTGATTCTTACTGCGCGTACCTTAAAGTATTCAGTTGTGCATTTATATTAAGTTTCATTTTTCTGATGAACTCTGATATTTGAAGGACGGTGGAGAGAGGCTCAACAAGCAGGAGCTTACTGGTAAATCGGCTATCAACTCTGAAATCATTATGACTGTGAAAGTCAGAAAAAATCTTTCCTCACTTTTGCCTTATACATTCATCAACAAATGTGATTGCATCGGCGAAACGCTTGCGTTTATTCAAAGAAGTTGACACATGTAATGAATTGAAACAAAGTTAACTGTCTCATGGTTAGAAAAAACGCCGTTTAATATGCCGACAACATAGATGGCATACATACATTTTGTAGAATTGAATAATTCAAATAGCTGATTGACACGATATACAGAATGAAAAAGCGTGGACTGATAGTTTATCTCATATGTATGAATTGTCTTCTATGGGTCATAGGACACGAGACAATTCCAGTTGTGACATAAAGTCAGAAGCAAAGAACCAAACAGACTTTATACTTATCGGTGATTATTTGAATTATGCTTGGTAAAACCGAGAAAGAAATAGAATCGATCACAACTGAATTATGCAAAGCAGCTGCAATATACTCGAAAGAAAATTAATTGATGTTGACATATAACTATCTTTGTGTTAATTAGTTTCATTGGTTACACCATAGCAAGACAATTATAACCTTTCAGACAATGGCTTTGTCCTGAAAAATATTTTCAACTTGTCACAATGAGTACTTTTGAAATACGTCTATCAGATAGATTAACGAGTTACTGTCATTCATACAGTCGAATGGATAATTAAGACAAAAGAAAGAAATATCAGTCTGAAGATTAATAATAGCAAATCTTCCAACACCATTTACAGGTGAGAGAATGAGTAATGGTCGCGATGAGAGTATAGGGATCAGTCTTAATTCGCCTACTCCTTCACACTTTAATGATCGATGGTGGCATCGAATGATCAATTTCCAAAAGCAAACCTTTGTGTTCTTGATCGTTATATTTGTGCGAAAATAAATTCACTGCTGACTAATTTTCTTCATTTGTAGCCCTTTAGGATTCTCTTTTTTCTTACCATTAGTTTTCTTTTTTCTATGTAAGAGTTAGAGATCACTGACTATTTTGTTAGAATATATTGAAAGTATTCAACAAAACAAAAACAAAGAAAAATAATCATAGAATTGTACATGTACTTGAGGCTGGTTTTGTCTGCAACTGTTCCAGTTGATTGATTGCAGTGACAAAGCGAACGAATTCGTTGCGATATAATGATGCATTGTATCGTTTTGAGAATTGTTCTCGTATATCAATGTATTCAGATTGCCAGTCTGGTCGAAGACACTGTCCATAGAGAAGTAGTTCGGTACCGCATTGAAAATTATACATTTCTCTTAGTTCACAACTAACTTTATTAGCATCAAACCAATCAGCGATATCTTTAGAGTTCCATTTTTTAATTGGTTTAGACTTAGGTAAAGATACTTGAGTTATCCCATGATTGGATTGATTAGGATTCTCATGATCATCTTTTGGTAATTCTTGATTCGGCTTGTTATTCTCATCAGACTTGTTTTCAACAGATGGAGCAGTTATCGGCACTTTAGAATCCTTGCTTTTTGAGTTTTTCTCGTTCTTATCCTCGAAAACAAGTTTCACGAGATCTTTGATCGTTTCTTCAAAAGTTTTTTTGCCAAAACGAATGTATTGTGGACCGACAATGCGTACACCTAACCAGCCACTAGCCACAAAATCTCGTTTAACGTATACGGGAATAAACCGTTTCTTCAGCGAATCTTTTGCGTACATCACTTCTTGACGACATGATTTGCTGTCTTGATAATCCTTTGTCATGAGAAAAAGTATCACGTCAGATGTTTCGATTGCTTGGCCGATTTCTTCCCACAGATCTTCTGTATGACAATAAGCGAAGTCAACCCAAATATCGAAAAGATTCTCTAAAATAGATATAAAATTGTGTCACTCAAAAAATTCGACATAGAATAACCATTCGATTTCATTCACAGACACTCTATAAACAAACAAAGCACATTCTCCTTGAAGGAAAAAATCGTATGTTCAGCAATTTCTTCTTACAGTTCAAACATTTTCGCCCTGCATAGAACACGAGCATTTTCTGACATATAGTTTCGACTCATGGAAAGTTCTTCGTTACGATGATCATGCAAGGCCTACCATATATGACACATTTTAAATGAGATACACGTGGCATACAATTGTTTTATAAATTTATTACAATGACGAGACATATAAATCTAAAATAACGGGAGAGATCCTCAAAGAAAACTATTTAAATAAATATATTTTTGTCTGAGAAGGGTTATGTTTCATGCCGATTATCTGGCAAATGATTTGAGCTGTTGACTTTCCAAAAAAAGTAAGATCATAAGTAAAGTATTTTTCAATACAGTTCTACCTCAAGAATATAGATAGATGAATTTTAGTGAAATAAATGTTACCTATTCATACTAATTGGCTAAGCCTTATAAGAAACGTATTTGTGCTTTTGTTTTCTGGAAGTTTCCAGTAAGTGCAGTTCGTAAGTTTGTAATGATGCAAAATGTTCTGAGTGCATTATTTACTAATTTACGCATAGTTCCTACGGTTTTGACTGTAGAATAGATATCTCAAAGAAAAATTTATGCTGAAGACATGGGTGTAGATTAGTGCCCGCCGTGACCAACTTTTGTTTGTCACGGCTACGATCAAGGTGAGCCCAGCCCGTGACCGTGAGTCACGGCCCTTCTTTCTAGTTTGTCAACATAAAAACAAAGCTTTCCAGAAAGAGCTATTGCAAGTTTCTGTTTTTTTTGTTAAAAGTGATGACGGCGTAGGGTAGTTTGGCGAAGATCCCCCTATCCCTCCTCAGTGCTAAATTCCTGGATGTCCTCGACTAGAGTGTGGGTGTTGGTGCAATGTAAATACATATACACGCTCACATTCCACTCTCATCGTTTATGATGATCCCTGGGAACCGTCTGTGATGGTCTCCGAAGTCCATCTGCCACGGCCTATGAAATGAGCGTTTGATTCACGATTATCGATTATATGTCACTAGAATCTCATAAGAATATAGATCAACTGCTTTTTTATTGTAGTTGAAGAGGATTGGGTAAAAATGATGAATAGATGATACCAAGATATATCAAGCAAAACAATATTGGCGTAATTAGTAACAACAGCTACATTGTGCTTCATATTTTAATCTCACAGGGTTTTCACTAGCAGCTTTTTTTCGTGTGTAGTTATATAAAAACTTTTATGACTGGAATATCGAATTTTTGGTGTTTTCTACTAACGTATAGTTCATTGTATTTGATGCAGAGAAAAAAAGTAATCTAATGGGGTACAATAAATGTACGCCAGAGATTCAATTTTCTGTTGGGTACCAGAGTTTGAAATAGAGCACTGTAATCTAAAATAGGGCACACATGACAAGCATGAAACATACCTTTTCCGAGTGCGTCTACAAACTGCTTGCAAAATTCAGTATCCACATGCGAATAGCTGACCATGACGTGCATTCGTTTGTTTTCCCCTGCGACTATCGAAGAACGATTCGTCTGATCGAGTACAGTTGGTGCCGGCTCCACTACGCGGACTATTCTTGCTAAACTCAAAATAAAATAGATCAAAGATAAATCAACGTTGATTGATGCATCAGTTTTCTAACCTGGATTATTTTCGTCAAGATTCCATAAAATACCGGCGGCTGCTTTTTTTACCGATGACATATGTTTCGGTACATATTGTTCAACCCAAGCTTCTCCATCGTCATTGGCCAGACTTTTGACAGTGATGAGAAACTTCGCACTCGATTTGAGCTCGTTGACATAATCGTCATGAAACGAAATACTCCAAATGATGTTCATCAGTGCTGTGAGAGTTAGTTGATCGAGTTCGTCATCATTGGCGAGAGCACCTCGAAATTGCATCACTAGATCACAGAAGAAGGCGATTTTTGAAGGCACTTTCATATTTTTGACTTGAGATTCCTTGACACAGTAATGCACAATGTCGTCATGAACAAAAAGTTTTGTGAAAACTACTAATGGTTCACTGATATCGAAATCACCATATTTATGATTTTTTTTCTGTGCAGTATTGACCGTCATCTGCATGAGTTTATCGAGCACTTTTCTCAGTGATTTGGCATCGCTTTTGATTTCTTTCGGTTCTGTCAACAATGCTAGTGCCATAGAAAAGAGTAAACGCATGTCTTCATAAGCTGTGTCATCAACGGTTGGATCCAAAGTTCGTTGTTTGAATTCTTGCAGTAAACGGAGAGCATCGGCTCCTTTCAATGCATCGCATCCTTTTTCATGTCGCGCCATATTGTATAAGAGCCGAATACTGGCTCGTTGAATAGCGAATGGCAATTCTTTCATGTTAATCCACTTGAGTGTGAATGCAACACAATTCGCTTTGAGTAATTGTGGTATCAGAATAGTGTTATCGACCAATGTCCAAATAAATTCTAATATTTCAACCATCGTCAGTTGAATATCGTTGTTAGTCTCAGATAAATTCATGTCTACATATTCTAATAGAAGGCGAATGGTCGACTCTTGATTGAGTAAATCATCTTTTTTGAATAAGATCTCTTCTGTCATGTTTTGCATTTGGAGTAGCAATATGCGCAAAATATTAGCTACATATGGCATAATTTCATCTTTGGATTGATTTTTGAGAAGGATCGTAATGGGTGAAAGTGATAATAGCTCAAAGATACGAAAAAACATATCATGAGCATAGAGCGTATCATCTCTGAAGATAGATTGAAAGTTAATAGTTGTGTACACTTTCATGACGGAATTAAATATTTGCTGGAATTGATCACTGGCAAGAATATTGACAAATTCAATCAATGAAAGAAAGTCAGCGATGTACGTTTTCCATATATCATGAATTATGTCAGAAAGTGTTTTTGGACTTTCGACGTAACGAAGAGACTTTATCGAAGTCAAGACCGATTCAATACAAGATAGAACTTTTGGATCAATAGTATTCATATTTGTGCTTGATCCATGTTGCAAGATCTCTTGACGCAAATTGGTCAACGATGCGAATAGATCACGTGAGATTTGGTTTGGATCGGCTGTTTTTGCTGACTTTTGCATCGAAATTACACGATTGTGTTTAACAGAACTGTTGGAAGATTTCGTCTAAATAAAGTTAAATATATCCAAATAAATTGTGAGCGAATGATCGCTGTTCGATAAACAAACTGAAATCAATGAATCAACCTGCATCATAAAAATTCTGCTCAATAGAGTTCTCTATTAATTGTCAATGAACTGATATTAACTGAAATCAGTCAGTTTTTTCAAGACATCTCTCCAACAAATCAGATTTCCACTACTTTCACTATTAACTTATTCTAATTAATCAGCTACTTTTTGTACTTTGCGACAGGCTTTCACTCCAAAACGCTGATTGGCTGAAGAGAATTTCGCTCTAAAATCTGATTCGCTAATGATAAGTCCTAATGAAGTCTGGCTGGCTAGAATGGATTTGGTGGTGAAGATAGAATCTGGATCGATGAATCTGTGTGTAGAGAAGATATCCACCACACGCACATTCACATACTCACCCTTACTTTGATACTGTATAGAATAGCATGAATACGTCAACTTTGCCAAATGAAAGATTTTGTTCGAAATGTTAAACATACAATATTGTTTGTAATTTCCTTGTTGAAAGTTTCGAACGCATCACAAAGTAGATGAACCATGAGCAGATTTCGAAAGTAATAGTTCACGATTTCAATCGATGAAAATTTTTACAAAAATACGAATATTTTACCGAGAAAACGTAGAGTAAAGATAGTCAACATTTTCGTTGCAGAGTTATAATTCACTTTATATATGTGCATATACTGGTGTTCGTCAATAAGTAATTGCATACGAGTGTAGAGTATTGCGTGATCAAAACTTCGTGGTGGAATAGGATGAGACAATATTTTGTTGTCCCATCGTGTACCTCTCTATAATTTTAACAACTTTGATCAAGGTAAAAATATATACAGATCGTACTCTTATATATACGTCAAATAAAGACACTGAATGTGATTCATGACGATTTATTGAGTTCATTTCGTACTCTAGATGTTTGTATTTTATTCCTAATTATCTATCGATATAAAGAAAAAGACAAGTCGAGAATCGCTGTTCTGCTGCAGGAATTCTGTAGTGTCTTTTAAGTTGATTGAATAAAGTTATGTGTGTAAGAATAGCATTTAAACAGGCATATGTTTGCTCGCATATTTCACTTTGATAAGCAAGTTAAACTTCGTACAGAGAACACACGATCTATATTTGAAAGTTTAAAAGTATTCTTATGGGCTCACAATCGATAGTCTTGTCTAATCTCCATCTTTTAAGGCACATTGAACAATGTGTTCTTTCATTTCGACACTCATTTCATCGAACATTCCCTCTCATTCAGTCATTCATCCTTATGAAATTGTTTTCTTCCCTCGTTGTTTTTATAATTAGCTCAATTCAATGAAAGGCAATGCTTATTCACACAGCATGATGAGTTTCTACTTCGATCACTTACCTGAATTCAAATGAATTGAAAATGAAAAAAATCTAATGTCACTGACGATGTGCAAAACGAACGCTGCCAGCAGTTGCTCAGCACCTATCTACCATCAAAATGACATTGACGCTGAAGCTGTTTCTGACTGTTTACCTACTTTATATATTTTTGTCGACCACTCAAAACTGAATGATTCATATGTAGAACAGGAATAAGTTTTATTTTAGTTTTTTTTTTCAACACGCTGTTGGAGACAGAAAGAAGAAATTAGAATAAGAGAATGAAAATGTGCAAGCAATGCAACAGATTCAGTGTTCCATACTCGTTTTTACCTGTTCTGTGCGCCTCTGTAAACTACGTAAAAATGTTTCAACAACCAAAATATGCACTCTCTCTCACTATTTTATGCTTCTCCCTTGTTACAGTATTTGATGGGAAGCAGAAAGCATAGAGACAAAGAAACAATAGTAACCGTTTCTATCCGACTGTTTTCTTGTGATGCGAGTGTTGGTGTGGTAGTAGGTGTCGGTAAAGAGTAGTCGCACAACCAGACGCATGCTTATTCAGTGATAAAAGTATCGACAAGTTTTGTACCATTCATGTGACAATATTTCTCCTCAAAAAGCTTGCAAATGAAATTGGAAACTCTGTCTTGATTCTACAAAGAAGTGTTAGCTTGGTGAAAATTTGTGTTCCATTGTCTATTAACTTATAGAGTTTTTTGATAATGAACATTGGATAGCGTTGACTCAACTGTTTGACTCGAGTCATTTATTCAAATAAGTTTTCATTTGCTCTTTAAAAAGAAAGAAACTTTGACTTGTAACATTAAATTCTCACTCACTTAGAAATTTTATTCTGATTGAGTACATTGTATCCGAATAATTTTTCCAAGAGTCTTTTTTGACTCATATATTTAGGCGGTCGAATATATGCGGGTTTTTTTTCGCATTTTGACTTCGACTCATCTATGATGAGTGTTTACGTGTATGTAATAAAATAAATGAAAACTTTCCATTCCATTACGGGTCATATTCTTCATTACGCTACAATATAATTGTTATGTGACAATTTTTCTGTCACCAAAATTTTCTATCATTCATTTCACATTATCTATTTCCCAAAAAAGTGTGTGAGTATGCAGTCTTCACTTCATCCATATATCCACTCTCTTATTTAGAAAACAAAAAGATCAATGTCGATTTCTTAATAAGCTTTCTAAAATAAATGTGTGTTGCTGGCATATAATCCTCAGATGAACATGTATTTAGTCAAAGTGGTCTTTCAATGAGATCGAATTCTTCACGTTTTACACAAGTTAACATGTAAGGTTAAGTTTTTGATTAGAAAAACATAATATTTTTTACTGTGGTGTGACGCTGTGTGAAATGGATGTTTTGATTTCGCTGTTCTTATTTCTAATGTGCAATCTATTTGGTTTTTACGCACAAAAACTAGGAACTAGAGCTCATGTATTTAAAAACCTGTTGTTGACGTTCCTTACAAACATAAACAAAAATTGTGAAACATTTGCCAACATCAGCAGAAATTTCGGATAATTTCGAAAGTGCTCTCGAACAACTTGTAGGTCAAAGATCGACTACCAAACAGAATGATTTAGTTAAGCAGATTTAATAGAGAACAGTGTCGATGAGATTCGACTTTAGGCTTTTATTCTTGTTCTTCTTTACAATCTCAGGTTTTGTTTCTCGACTTGTATTTTTGAAAGATAATCTGGTTAGAAAATTGACAGATTTCTTCTCATCATAATGAAATATTTTTCAATCTCGTCTATCGAGTCCGACTAAAAGAAAAACTAAAAACACAATACAACAAACGATATGTGTAGTTGGAGAGATTCTTTTTCTCAAAGCCTTATGCCAACAATATTTTGATCAGTCTTATATTTACTTTTTTAATATCATGACGATCATCGATGATTTGATATGGAAATATCAATTAGAACAAATTTATTCTCGGAGCAGCTACCCTTGACATACAATGGTCTATTTATTTTCAATCTGAATTTTAAGAAAAAAAACAACATTGAATTTAATATAATAATAGGAGGTTACGAGGGCTTTAGAATTATCTATTTTCATATATAGCTGTATACTGCCTTTTCTGGATAGTAGGCCTAGGGATATTTAGAATTAATTGTTAATGTAGGTATCTATAGATCTCCTAGATTCATCATTCAAAAACGAGAAATGACAAGTCTGCAGGTTTCTGTACGGTAATGATTTATTCGAAATAGACCATCAAATAAATATGAATGTCGTTGGGTAGGGATAGATCCCCTAAACCTCCGTTTTTCGCAAAAAGTGGACGATTTTTTTTCCAAGATTCAATTTAAAATGAAAAATTCCGCAGACTCACGATTGAGTAAATTCGGGAGTTTTAGATGAATCTGTATCATATGGAGTAGCAACACTAGGATGAGAGAATCTTTCACAATGTGTTGTATCTGTCATCTTTCGACATTTTGAGCTCCATCGACAAGAAGTACGATTATCGTTTTGTTGCAGAGTTGCAGAGTAAGATGAGCATGTGTTGCATTTTTTCGCATTAGCCAAATTGAAACTTTTTGATTTTCTTTCCGATAACATTTGTTTTTGTGATGACACTTTGATTGAATCTGCTGAAGAGAAGCCGATATGCTGGTATGTCCTCAAACAAACTCTTGCTTACCGTTCGATGTTGTCGTCTGAATCTCTTCCAAGACTCGTTCGCCATGTGAGTATTTTATGTGATGTTGGTCTGATTCATTCGTGCAATTTCCTTGAAATTGACACGGAATTAAAAAATATGGCAAGTTCGTATGACGCTCGATGAATCGGATCACATAAAGATTGGCATTTATCATCTAAATGACACATATGTACTCGACGAGATTCATGCGTTAGATGAGGCTCTGGATTTCGACAATGTTCAGCAAAGCGACATGGATGTGAAAACTTTGAATTGTGATCTTGTCCATTCTTTGAAAACTGAATAGGACAATTAATGCTATTGAAACAAGGCGTCAACAACGAATTATCGTCTTTAGCTAAGGTTGTTTTCTTCATTTGATTAACTACAGTATCTCTCTTGAACTTCATTCGAGCAAAAAAGTCAGGTAAAGTAATTGACTCTTTCTTGTCTACCTTGGAAGGTAATGGATGGTAAGGTTCTGTGACTTGTGTATCAATTGACATTGCTGTCGCGAAAGAAGAAGATTTTTTCTTGAAATTTTTATCATATGTCGGATGTAGATGAAATTGTTTCCTACAAGAGACAATCAAATTTCGAATGGGCACAGTGTGAACTCCAGCACTAACATGAATGAATTCTAATGTATTCACGTCAAGATCTGATTTAGTAAATCTATGAGAAATTTTTTCATGATCGTAGATTGAATTTGGACCGGCATGAGAGAGAGTGACTGTGTTGGTTGAACGCTGAATTTCCAGACAAAATGTCATATAATCATCTGTATTACATCCGACATAGAAAACTGTTGATTTGGCTGCATACGTGCCTTTATGGATAAAAGTATGATGCTGAGAAGGTAGACCGCTGTTTAGATAAGAAGCTTGTTCATGATAATTAAGATCCGTAAATGTAGGCTTCGGCGCAACATAACAAATCAAACAGCGAAGATTCGGTTGTCGTTCAGTCGAATTAATTTGTTCGTTTGACAATGTCAACATCATATCTCCATTCATCACTTGCCAATAGATATAAGTTGTAATATTATTTGGCATTTCCGGAAGAGGCTGTTCTAGATAAGATTGTGAAATCATTAAAGGCAAGGCAATATTATCCTTGAAATTGCTTGATGGGACCGTAATGGCACAGCCTCGCATGGATGTAGAAAGTGAATGAGTATCACGTTTACCAAATCTCTCGATCAATTCTTTGACAACAAAATCTTGATATTCAGCTCGAGATTCAGAACTTGGCTTCGAACCAAATTTACTTTCCGCTGCACCAACTTCACCTTGATGTTGTGTTTTTGTTATACGATCTTTGAAAACAGCATCCATTGCTTGATTAGCATCAGTGTCACTATCGAGCCATTCAAATATATTCTGTGCCATATAAATATGATCGATATAATCTAAGGGAATAAGTTGAGGTAAATGGGCTTCCATCGACCGATGAGAATCAACTTCGAGACAACTTTCGATAATCATTTTAAGATCTATATTCATTGTCTTCTTTTTTAAAAAATGACTTGTCGTTGTTATCATTTCGAGAGCAGCAGCGCGTTCGTAGCCTGGCATAGAAACATGTAATTTTGATTCATGATACAACTTAATTCTTTCTTCTTGTGACTCTGGAGCAATGCCCAGCCATGGACGCCAATTGTAAGTTCTACCACTGGCGTATGATGTTGCTGCTTGTATGGAAAAATTTGCATCGGGATGATGCAGAATTTCACGTTTGAAAACAATAAATACATCACCATAGTTATGCCCTAAATGAGGTCCAAGAATACTAAACACATGTTTGTTTGTTCCTAAATCTTTATCTCTCATATAGCCAATTCCAGCCGGATTTGAATGAAGTTTCATGGAGGCCTGAGCTATTTCAATTGTTTTCTTATGGATAGCATTCATATCAGCAGAAGAAATATTATGTGATAGAAAGATATTTTCCTTTTCAATAAAGGCTGAACGAGAAACTGAAGTGGAAATGTCGGATGATAATATTTGAGTGCTTGTCACATCCTCACTCGATTGTATTTTCGGAAATCCGTTTTTTTCATATTCTTTAGCAACCAAAGCAGTGATATATTTCTTGGCACTTTCTGCATATATGGGCAGTTTTAAGGCATCAATTCGTTGTATTCGACTATGATGAAGGATAGAATTAGCAGCGAAATCGGGATCTTTCAATGATTCCATGTATTCTCGACTCATGACATGTCCATGAATGAGAATGGACTTGAATATTTCCGGATTACATCGATGGACAGGCTGAACAGTATGTAACCAGTCGATAATCTCTTGTGGTATCGAATCAGATGGTAACTGTTCCCAATTTTCAAGTTGCACATAATTCGTAATGCGTGCTATGTTATTTGATTGATTTTGAGCAAAATTAATATTCCTATTCAAATGATAGAAGGGAACGATACCACTATTTTGCAGCGTTATTGCATGACGAAATTTAGCTAGATGCTTGGGATCTCGATGTGTGTAACATTTATCGGCATGTTTACACGGAATTCGAATGTCGCGAATATTAAAATGTGTGAACGTATTCAAATGTTCTTCTTGCAGAAGTTTTTCACATTCTGTACCAAATATACAAAGCGAACGAGGTACATGAATTGACTTTTCTAAATGCAATGGTGCCTGAATCGTACAATGACGTCCGAAGTGACAAACATGAGCAAATTCACGACAATGCTGCTCGACGTCATGTGAGAGTTCGCCACTTTCGGATGTTTCTAATGATTTATTATGTAATGCACAGTGGTACGGAGTGAATAAACATGGATGCGGAAAAGGATGTTTGTATTTCTTGATATGATCTTTATCGTGAAAATCGACGCAGTAGCTTCCATGTTTACAGTTAGGTCGACAATGACGATAGTGAGTACAATGAGTCTTATCATCATTCTGAAAATGTACACATTGATGTAAATCTGGACACATTGATACATGACAATATTCTTTTTCATGATTTTGTGCCGTATTTTGACAATGACCTCCGTCTGGACAGTATGATGGATGTTCGAAATCTTGACTATGTTTTTGATCGTCAATATTTGAACATTGACCACCGTATCTACATCGTTTTTGTTGAATTGATGAAGCCATAGGAAAAACTCTATATAATCAGATAAATAGATTTCGTCGTTCTTTCTAAATTAAAAATCAAAGTTCATATATATTTTTTTTTTCGTTTTTCTATCAGTAATACGTTCTTAAGAAAGAAAAAGAAAACTGAAAGTGTTCACACAATCGAAAAGTTCCAAAATCTTAAATCCACAAAGTTTCATATATATAGATTAAGATCATCTGAAAGTATAATTAAGAAAGCAACTCATCTATATTCTATATTTTTCAATCATAATCAAGTTTAGTTATCTACTTGTAGGTTTATTCGGAAAAATACGATCGACTATAGACAAATAAATATTTTGTCGGTATACAATCTTCATGATCTATAGTTTATCAAACGATCATCGATTTTGACTACATCTACGATTACATATTTCTCCCATTGTATTCGATCTGGTAAAAAAATCTTATGATCGATTGATATGGTCATTAATCCTGTCAAAACTCCAAGAAATTTAGACTTTAGCAGTTCTTGCTAGCGTAGCTGACATTGCCCTTTTATCCTCATGCCAATACATCGTAGTGTTCATTGGCCTCAAACGAAATATATAGAAGGAATGGTCAGACTTTTAAAAACATGAAAAAAAAGTAGATAGTCTGAAAAATGTTTCCTCTAGAATTTTTGTGAAGAGGATGTGTTGTATATTTTCTGAAGTAAAAAGGATAATCACTGTGTAAGATATAACATTGATCTATTTGTGACTACTTGGTTTTTCTCAATGATCCATAAAAAAATGGGTCTGCCACAATCGTCTCAACTAGAAAAAAAACTGTGTATAATACTGAATATGATTATGTATTCATCTTACTTTTTACAAGCCACTAAGTATTATGGACAATGTACACGGTACAAAAGATAGGGGTTTATCTAGAAGTAGAGTAACTTTGGCTGATAAACAAAGAGGTTTACTTTTATATGCAAACGATAATAGCTGGAGAATGGAGAAAATGTTGGAAATCGACGTTCATTTCGAACATTATAAAATCTTCTCTTGTAAAAGGTTGCTATGATGAAGATGAAGAGCAATCTAATATTTCAGTGTACAATAGTGTTCGAACTACATAAAATATTAAAAAGGATCATTCTTTTTTTTAACTCTGTGACAGATTCCTTCATTGGACAACTTCTCTTGTTATAATCATCATCATTTCGATACTAACAGAGGACACGAACTCGCTAATCAATCAGATGATTAGAGATAGGAGAAGGTAGACTAACTAGAATAATTCATCGAGCTGCAGGTCTTATTGTATCTAAAGCAAAAAAATACAAATCAAATAGCGCGGAACGAAGTATAATAAATCCTAATACACTCGAAACAATTGTATACACATCATATTTCATCGAATACAATACGGAGAAATACGATTGTAATATAAAACCATTGAGTATCCTAATATTTAGAGCCGTGTTTGTTCGATCTAGGAGGTAGGTGTCATTCGAGTTAATTTGTGGTCCTATTTATCCCAGGTATATGATTGAAATCATTTCTGACGGAATATTCTTTGGAGTGATGCAATATTTAACTGAGAAAAATCCTGATATACCTGCAAGATAAACTTGGATATGGAGACTCTTTGTCATAACTTGCTTTTTGAATCAAAGTAGAAAAATGCATCTGATGAAAAAAATGTATTCAGTATCATATACTTTTGTATATCAAAGTTCTGTTCTGTTTTTTTATCATCATTGACAGACTGATAAGAAGTAACGAACACTAAAAAGATAACAAAAGAAAGGAAAAGAGAAATGAATGCTGTGAATTAATAACATCTGAAGTATGTGTATAAAAAAAGACTGACGTCGAACGCCAACTTTTTTTGTTAGTATGAACAACTTTTGCTTAGCAGGTTATACATGCAATTTTTGTGGTAGAAAATGGATTTTTATTTCTCAGATGTGATTATTTTAAGGGCAAAAAATAGATTTGGACGTAACTAAATAGGATCTTTTTTTGAGAATCACCAACTCAGTCTACATTGACTGGCATTATTTGGTACCATAGTCACGGTTACGACTTGTATGGAGAAATATTCGCTGAAAGTTTAAGCTCAAATAGATTTTATCTACTTTCAGTATTGACAAAATTGTAAAAGTCATTTTTTGAAAAGATTTTTAGCATTAAAGTCAAAAAAATTTTTCTGCAAGACGTGGATACTACACATGCTTACGATACAGTTTTACGAGCTGATTCTGAATGTAAGCATAGCTTTATATTAAAATGAAGAGTCTCGATGTGAGTGTGTGTCTTCGTTTTACATCCACACCCTGTTAGTAAAAAGACATCGCTCTCATGCCCCGTAATTGTAATAGTACAAGAAGAGAGGAGGTCACAGATATATTCATCCATAAGTTCTCTACCTGAATAGATGAATTTTGTCAAAAAACAAATAAAATGAGCTAGTCTTGTTGCAGTACGAATTAATATTTGTATTGTTTTTTGTTGGAAATTACCAGAAGTTATAATGACGCATTAATTAGAATAAAAAATCTAACAAATTACATTCTCAAAAGCAAGGTGTTGATTGAAGCAATTTAGGTAAGCTAGCACGGGACTATTCTATTCTTTCTTGGTATGATAAAAGATATTAATTAGAGGGAATAAAAAAGAGACAATTAATTTTAGATTACAGGTCGAACATGATGATGCGGATGCTTTTGTACATCCTTCTCTGGCTTCATAGGCGCCCAAACATGCTGCATAAGCCATGTTGTGCGCAATAGTATGTTGTTCGAAGGTTCCAATAAACAGATGACTCCATGATCCGTGAGCATATACTGGGACATCTTCACCACCGTGAGTTTCCGACTGCATGGGTAGAGCTGCCGGCGCACGATAGTCGGTCGAATTTGTGTTTAACGAATATAAATAAGTTGCATTTCGAGACGACTTAGACTCCGGTCCATTGCCATAGGCGATAATGTTCACGGGTAAATCATCAATATCACTCACATTCATGTTCTCTAATGAGCCGAAGCCTAATATATTTGAACCACGTGAAGAATAAGCGCCGATTGTAAATACATGTGAATGATCGGCTGTGACAACAATCAGAGAATCATCGAGAACACCTTGATTTTGCAAGACTTTCTTGGCTTGTCCAACGGCATTATCAAATTCGACGAATTCGTCGAGAGCATTTCTCGGCTTTGTATCATGATGTCCATGATCGATTCTGCCACCTTCGACAAGAAGAAAAAAACCTTGATCGAACTTCAGAAAATGTTTGATAGCAAATTCAGTCATACGGGATAAACTTGGTTCGTCATCATTACTCTGGCTTCTATTGAATTCGTAGCGCATATGACTAGGTTCAAAAAGACCTAACAATGGTTGCGATGAGCCTAATTCAAATTCATTCATTTGAGACATTTTCCAGATATATTTTCCTTTCCAGAATTCATCGATAAGAGATCGATTGTCAACACGAGATCCTCGTATTGTAGGGTATTCAACATCGAATGTCGTTGTTGGATAGAAAAATTGACGACCACCACCTAACACAAGATCTATTGGAGGATTTCGAATGACGAGTTGATGAGCGATATCTCGACAACCTTGTGCTGAATGGCTTGCGTTGAAATTTCGATTGTCAAAACTTTCCCAATTTCGTTCGGGTATATGTGCATATGCCGCAGCCGGTGTTGCATGAGTGATGCGAGCAGTAGTAATGATGCCAACTTTTTTACCTTCGAACAACGAGATCAAGACAGATATCGTCAGATCAAAAAAAAAGAATTTACCTCCTTTTTGTGCCCAATCCAAAATACTGTCGACATGTGTGCCGATTGAACTTGGACAATCACTTCGTTTTGCTCGTCCATCGACTCCAACGGTACCCAGTTGTGCTTTAACACCGCATAAATAAGCGGTTGCTGTCGCTGCTGAATCCGGTGTTTGATGATCAATATTATATCTAAATGGAAAAGAAATATGTTTCTTTGAAAATAAACGAAAAATTAGAATTAAAATTTGAAAACTAACGTTTTCGACAAACCCAAATGAGCTAACTGTTCCATTTCAGTCAGATAGTCTTCACCCAATTGACCGTTGATTTGTCCTTTGCGTATTCTTCCAGCAGTCACCGTTGAGATACCCATTCCATCACCAAGAAAGAGAATAACATTTTTCGCTACTCGTGTGTTTTCCTTTCGTGCAAGTGATTGTTCAATGGCCAGACGCGCTTGCTCATGCCAGAAAGATGCATTCTTTTCGATTGACCAATCTATACGACCACTATTGACAAACTCATTAATCATCAGAATAACAAGCAGCAAGAGCAAATGTACTAGAAAAGTAGACATGATTGTTGATGGCTGAAAGATACATACACTTCTATATATTCGAGATCAACAGTCTTCGATGTTGTTCAATCGTCGTTTGTTATCTAATTCTATTTCTCTCTTTTGTATCTTGTTATTGTGGTGTAGTCACCGGAGTAGACGAAAAAATAAAAAGAATCGTGGCAGAGAAATCGGAAAGTTAAAGACAAAAATAAATAGTTTGCAAGTCGCAGCTAAACTTTGCTTCGTAACGAGCTGCTCAATGAAATTTTAGCGATATTTTTTTACATTACATATTTGTAACGTTGATGCTCAACTTTCATTTTTTGCTCTTCTTCATTATAAAAATCAAATGCGTTCATAATTAATGGAATCATGAATTGAAAGGATAGTAATAGAAAAGAAAAGCAAAGGGAATAAACAATGTTAATAATGAAACTCAATGAAAAAAGCAGGTCGAATGGGAAAGAAAGGCTTAGAAAGGAGAATCACATACTTTGCTGTTTACTGAAGAGTAATACCATGAGTAGCAGATTTAACTTCATGGAGAAATCCTTATTATTAACTAACGAATTGTAACCAGACTAGAAGTACAGAACAGTTGTTGGCCTTTAATCTATTAGTGTGCTTCATCGGAAAGAACTTACTAATGTTGTATGTTGTCTACTTATGGTTTTAGCATGCGTAGTTAAGAAAGAGATATTTCTAGTTTGATTGCATAAAGGAAAGCTCACTTTAAGTTTATTTTATGTGAGTATTTTAGCCTCTTTCTAGAACTATCGATATCTACATCGTTTCAATCAAACCTCAAAAATGAATTTGGCGAATATTCGGTACAAATAGAAGAAAGTAACTTAATCATTTAATTCAACATAGGATCAAGTTCCGATTTATTTTCATTATAGACGTTACTTCTATATAGTTGTATTTCAGTTGAAACGTCTAATATATTCTTGGGTTCTTAATATTCCATCTCAATCTAAATATCGTGATGACTAGATTGATCTCTAAAATGTTTTATCAGCTTTTCTATAATCACCTAATTATCTGATTTAATGCTGTTATCCAATATTATGTATTTTCGAAAAGAGAAGTATCTTTGCTTTGTAAGTACTATAGGAATGTGATTCAAAAGAAAGTATAAGACATTTATGAGACTTAAACATGACATTCTGATTGAATAGTTTCCAGTTTCTCGAATGACTTTCGACTATTCCTCGCCAATAAAAGAAAAAAGTTAGCCAAAAGTTGCTGGTTAAACTTGAAAACTTTTTGATCTGAAATATACTGTTAAAGTTCCATCATTTTCCTGCGTTCTCTTCCCGAATCGGGTCTATATGTTTTCATTTGAATGAAGATTATTGTCTCGAATATTATATTGTAGAAAATATTACTTGCATATAACTTACCGCTAATCATCGTAATTTTTACCGAGTGAAAATGTCTAAAGAAGAATGGTTAGAGATTAGATATATTTTTAAAAACACTTCTGAAGAGTTGATCATTGCGATTTGTAGAGAGCTGTTTCTTTGATAAGAGTGCTGTCGGTGATTTACGACCTGAAGAGTAATAATTCAACTAAATCTCGTCTCTTTTTTTTCTTTTTTCTCCACTTCATTTTTATGTCATACAATCATTTATACTCTTTGCAGATGGATATCTCATCTTAGTGTCATTTTATGATTTGGTTTTTTTTAAATTTCTTTACCATGCTTTGGAGTCTCAATTTTGAGAAAGCAATAAAAATGATTATACAACCTTTTATCTACAATCGAAGATATATTAGGGGTGCATCGAATGAATGTCTAAAGCAGAAAAAAAAATTATGTTCGATTCGTATCATAATCAGCGATTTATCGAATGAAATAGGATTTTGAACACGAACAAGAAAGATGACTTGTACAATACTCTTTACTATGAAAATATTTTGATTATTAATGATATGTCCTTTTGTGCATTTGACTAGCACACTGTTCATCAATATAAGAGACTTAGTGGTTTCTTTTCTTTATTTTTTTTTCAAGAAAAATCTAAACCGTGGAAAGAGTTGACAATGGAAGCTTTGTATTGTCTACGATACTCTAACCATTTGACATCGTTTCACTTCTGTTTGTGCAATAATAAATACACCAATGGATCTCTCATGTTGCCATATTTACTTGATGTCGTTATCTCATGATACAATAATGAATAAAAATCACCTGCCTAGTAGAGCTTTCTTGAAGTCCTAAAATTTACCATAAGACTAATATAAATATGGAGCACTAATCATCCACTGATTAGAATCACACTTCATTCCGTCAGCCTTGTTTTTAATTATTAATCCATTATTTACCTTTGACAACTAACTTTATCAGTGCATTCATAATAGGAAATAATAATTTTATTTTAGCATTCGTTGAATTCAATGCTCAGTTAGGCAGTTCTGATGAAAGTATTTCATTATGATTTCACAACGGTGATATATTAGCTCAAACGGCAGAAGCAGTCAACAGATTCGATCGACTCAATTCGATCCGGTTGACTATATGCAACGGCTCCAAGAAGGAATCAATGCATTGCTTTATTCGCCAAAAAGCAAATGTTCGTCGCCAACTGAAGCATTGCAAATCAACTGAAGAGAAAAAAAAGTCATGAATGATATGATAATGGTGTGGGTGTCACTTTTCTGTTCGTCCCGATGCTCATATCCACATCTACAAGAATCTTTGATTGTTTCGTCTCTTTCTCCAAGCAGTGGAAAATAAAAGTAGGAAACGATAATGTTCAAGAGATATTTATTTGTTTTTCATGCTGGAACCGTGTACTCATAATACACAGGAATCTTTCATTGGTATTTACTAGAAGAAATGTCGACTTCATATGTTTAAAAGTGAAGTACCAAGTGTTTGATCTTCACATGATTAATATTATTGAAATTTTGAATTTCATATGCAAAAAAAAAGTGGAAGAATAATGTGAATACAAACAGACACAATGGAAATAAAACATTCGATATTAAATTCATTTTTAAGAGCAAAGATACAGCATTTTCTGTTCTACTATGTAAAACATTCACAAGCTTATTCAAGCCATTCAAAATTCGACGAAAACTTTGGACAATTCTAGAACTTTCTCGAACACTCTAAGTGTTGTTGTTAATAGTGTTCCGCGTTTTTTTTGTTGGAGGCAGGGGAGACGAAAACTTCGACTTAAAAGTTGCACTCAAGCAGCGACAGAATGGAAAATACATTATGTCTTTTTTTTATATTTACCTAAACAAAGTCAAATCGAACACGAGTGCATATTGACAAAAAGACAAAATATTCTGTTTTATTCTTGATTAAAAAAATTGGAAGTAAATTAGACACTATGAGTCATTTTCAAAAAAGACAATGTGAATCATTCGTTACAGATAGAGAACGTACGATGCATAATCGATCCTTTTTTCCTAGCAAGAAAAGATATTTTTTATCGATATATATGCTTTGGTAACAATCAAGGTGACAGTTACATTTCGACCTATGTATAGTGTGTTTATTAGCAAATGTACTGCACGTGCTATATGTAATGAGCAAATGTATTTTAATATTTAGATTTGTTGAATCGTTGAATGACAATACAAAATAACAAGAAATACATAATTTTCTTATAGCAAGTAAGTGAAAACGGAAAACTGAAATAAGAAAGTATTGTGAACGTTTCATTATCAGAAAACTATACTATGGCAGCTTATCCAAATTGCTGTTTAAAATTAAATGTTGACGGTTGTACAGGATTTAACCAACGTAGGGTAGCTTAATACGTAGATTGATGCTTAGAATCACAAATTGATCCATATTTAGATATATAGCCACGCCACTACCAAAGCAAGAAAAAACAGACTAATGTTTTTCAATTTTCTCTTTCGTTGCTGTGACCGACGATCATGGCGTTCAATAAATATTTTTATATACTATTTTGAATTAGGAGTTAAAATGTGCTGTATAAAGTTAAACAGTAAAGACATAAATTGTTGCAGCTGCATGATCTGTTATGGAAGATGTTCTATATATACTTCTGTTTTTCTTGAATCTATATCAAATTTTATTAAATACAAGGCGAAAAATCAGCATGGAAAAAAGATAATACAGAAAAATGTTTTGTCATGTAAATCCCATTTTTATTTTTATTAGAAATAAGCTGGATTGAAGTTTAATGAATGTTTCGCTTTATAGTTTCGAGTTTCCTTCAATCGAGTTATTTTTGTTTGATCTTGAAAAAATCGTCGAAATGGATACAGCTTCATCGTTACATCATGTTACTGGTAAGTCAATTTTATTATATGACAGATCTCGTTGTATATTAGTGATACTTGAAAATTGCCACACTGTGTCAAGTGTTTTTTTAAGACAATTTGTCATACAAAACAAAAATAGTTTTATGAGAACAATGTTTAGACTAAAAAACTGGGAGTTACTGTATTAAGATAGTTTTGATGACATTTGATTCTATAAAACATCATTTACTCGACTTCTGTTAGAGTCAACTGTCATTTGCATTTCTTCTGAACTAAAATAGCTATAAAGTCTAGAAGACGAAATCAATTCTACAAATGTTTATTTGTCTGAAACACACTTTTAAAATAATTCTTATCTTTTATGTTACGTTTGTTGAGGAATATGATATTATGACATCTTCGATCTGTTTAATGTAAAATCAATCGTATCGGGTTTTGCATTATAATCATACACAACTTATATTGGCAGCATTTTGATTTAGATTGAAATTGTTCGTTCCATATTTTGTATTTTTGGCAAGAACAAGGAACAAAATTTGTAAGAGGCAGAATCTAACCAGATATATCGTCAATTCTTAATTTAATATTATCAGTTGGATTATTTTGAAGACAGTTATGAGAGCGAGGCTAGATATTGACCTAATGCAGAACAATAATTCTTCATTTTTTTAATTCTATAGTATCCTTTGAACTCTCTAAAATTCAAGATCTTATTAGATTAATAAGACAACAAACAAACTTGTGTCAGATTTGTTTTTCTGTACTCTAGAACTTGATGCTGATATTCGTTTCGGCATCGATGATTATATTCGAACGGAAATGAAAAAGCAAAAGATTCCAGGTCTTTCACTTGCCATAATACGAAATAATCATATTGTCTATGGTCAATGTTATGGTTATTCGAATATTGAACATAAAGTGTCTGTCAAACTTGAAACCATGTTTCAATCGGGTTCAATGGGCAAACAGTTTACAGCAATGGCTATAATGATATTAGTTGAAAGAGGAGAAATTGAATTGGATTCACTTATTAAGGAATATATTGAGGATATACCAAAGGAATGGAAACATATTACTGTTCGACATCTTTTAACACACACTGCTGGTATGTCAGACTACCCTGATGATTTCAATTATCGTTAAGATGTTACCGAAGATGATATGTTTGAATTGATTAAGACAATTCCACTCGATTTTAAACCAGGTAAACAATTCGTGTATAGTAATCTTGGATATATAATGTTGGGAACATTAATTCGTGAAGTAACTGGTGAATTTTATGGTGATTTTCTTCAAAAGAATATTTTCGAACCTCTCGGAATGAAAACAGCACGAATAATCAGTGAAAGTGATATCGTTTTAAATCATGCTTGGGGGTTACGGTCTTGTCGATGATAAATTCAAAAATCAAGAATGGGTTTCACCAAGTCTCAACACTTTTGCTGATGGTGCTCTTTATCTTAATATTTATGAGATAGTGAAATGGGAGACGGGACTTAATATCAAAAAAATATTGAAAGATAAGGCAAGTTTTGATCCGATGTGGAGTCCGGTTAGATTAAACGATAATACAACATATCCATATGGTTTTGGCTGGGAATAGGATGAGACAGTCAGTGGAATGCATGTCGTTAAACATGGTGGAACATGGCAAGGCTTTGAATCGTATATAATTCGAGTTTTAGATGTAAAAGTAACAGTTGTTATTTTTGCAAATGCTGATGTTGCAGATGTAGAAGAAATAGCGTCAAATGTACTAGAAATGTTCGATTCACAGCTTGCTCTTAAGTCGGACGAAAATGAATAAAATAAAATTAANAACCTATATCTGTGAAAAATTCGTCAAGCTCTATCAAAACATATATAAATGAATCAGAAAAAAATCCTCTGGAATTTTTCATTCGGCGCACTTGAAAATAATTTGTTTTCATAATTTATAAATTTTCGACAACAAACAATTAAAATAATTAACTGTTTCTTCTAAATCGGTTGACTTGATGAAAATATAAAATTTACGATGAATATCCAATGCTTGTTATTAATATGACAGTAAAAAAGTGACCAATCAAAATTACAGAGAGCAGTTTAATGACGTCTTATAAGTCGCCAACGCGTCCGAGCAACTATTTTTTTTCCAAGAAATTTTATGCATTAATCATGTCAATGAATGTTTATATTTTCCATAAGCCTTTGGAAGACGAAATTGTTCTAGACTAAGTGCTGTTTTCATGTTATTAAGAGCAATCTCTAGGAGTGTCATATTAGAATTAGCAATGCTTTAGATATTAGTATCAAAATACACCGTAGTGCTTTGGTATTAATTGCATTAAATTAACATTATTTGAAAGTCTAATGCATAGACTACAGACAACTACATCTCGAATACTTTAAGTTTACCGTTTCCTAAAATAGAACAAAATTATTCTTTGTTTTTTGTGAATTGTACTTTCGGTCAAATAACTTTTGTTCTGTTAAATACTTGGAACTTGAAATAATAAGCGAATTTCATATGAATAAATAAAAAAAAAGTTCTCAAAACAAAGAAAGACATCACTTTTGTTTTATTTTTTATGTGTATAAATATCATAATCAAAACTCAAGTATTTAACTATGAAAAGCGTTTTTCCTTGCTCATTCAATTGTTTATTCCAGAATGATCACTCTTGCTCGTCAATTTGTACATAATAAAGTCTAAAAGTTGAACAAAGTGTATCTCAATACTTGAATAATTCTACTTTTGGACTTTATTACGTAAGAATTAAACTGAAAACAACTACCTTTTAGAAAAGTTCAGATAAACTGAAATTTTGAACCGTTAATTCTAATTCGTCTCTCTATGAATTTCATTTAGTAGAAATCAATATCAGTATCACCAGTAATTCCTTAAGTTATTTGAAATACTATTGAGATACATACTCCTATATTAAATGAATCAAAGTCTATAGAAATTCATAGTTGAATTTTTATTAGCTAGTTTAAAAATAAAAACAAGGATTTTCTTTGTCGAATAAATATTCAAACTAATAATAGTTATTTTTTCTCGTATCAATCACATTTGAAAATAATTTATTGTGGACAAAAATTAGGTACAGATAATTTTGGTATCCATTCAATATTGATTAATGGTGGAGGATTAAGCATTAAAAATGGACATCCTTTTTTTATTAATGGTCGAAGCATGAGTGGTGATGTAATAAGAAGAAATGCATGTGTTATTAACCAGCCGGCATGTTCAGGAAGTTTAATTTTCATATTTGTTTCAAGAGAACAAGCAATACCGTGTAAAAAGAAAAACATAAAAGTTGGAAAAAGTGATGATGTATCATTAAAACCAACAAAACATACATGAACATGAAGAAGACCACTTATAATAAATGTTATCAATGCCGCTATGGTCGATGATGATAATTCTAATCGCATAGGTTCAAAAACTGATTCTTTTAAAATTGTATTAACAATTTGATTATATCTTTGACCCCAAAATTCTCGTAATGATAAACTAAGTATTGGAAAATTGGTAAATGATTCAAGTGTATATTTATCTTGAGTTAAAATTCGAACAAGAATCATTTCAATATCAAGAACATAAGATATTGTTATTATAGATAAATAAAGCATAAAAATTCTTTCATAACTAATTCCCAATTCACATTTAATAAACCATCGATAAATCCAATGATTTATTAATAGTTTAATTATAATTAATATTATATGAAATAAAATAGGCCATTGATTTTTTGCTTTATTTTTAGGTAAAATTGGAAAATAAATCCAAAGAATTTTCAATAAAAATAATTTAAATGTTAATAATGTTGTTCTTGAAAATGATGTCAAAGCAATTAAACGAATTGACATTAACCAACATATTGCAACTATTAATATTGAAATTGAATCGAATCGAGGAAGATTTTGACAAGTGACATAAGTTAATAATATACATGAAAAACATGTTAAAACAAATCGAATTAATTTACTTGAAATAGGACGAATTACATAATAACATATGAATATACATACAAACCAACCGATTAGAATAAATAAAGACAAAACCATGTTCACAATCACTATGATATCTATTTTTCTTTTTGAAACAAACCTATTCGTTATAATATTTCTATTGCGACTTTCATTATGACGTCAATAATTTATATCACAGTTATCGTTCTCTTTGTTTCATCAACATTTTTTTTCAACTCTGCCTATTTAACTAACAAAGACAACAGAAAACTTTATTATATCATTCTTATCTTATTCACTTCAAAAAAAAAAATAAAGAATATTTTTATCATTTTAAGATGAAAATTCGATTAAAAATCATTTAGAATGATAGTATATGATACTCATTAAAGTTCTCGTTCAAACATAGGCAATAGACGGAAAAAACTTTCGATTTATTTATAATGAGAAAAGAAAAAGAACGAAAAAAAGGTTATGAAAGCAAATAAGCAGTTTATATTATAACCCGGCAAAAAAAAATGGAAGTGAACTTATTCATTAAAATATAGAAAGCTGTTTTAGTATGCAATGACAATTACACAGTACATTAGCATTGGTACGAATGCGGATTCAGAGGAGGAACACACACGCATCCGCATAAAATGCATCGTCAAGTTTTTCAAAAAAATTCGACCATCGTCGTATACATACATAAAAGAGTCAATCTTACGATATTTAACAGTTTGATACGATATCAAGGAAGAATAGTTACTTATCTAAGTTGTATCCCGAACTTCTTAAATATTGGTGTGTTGATATCTAACACGTCCTTGGTTATTATCACAGGCATGTAGGATCATACTGGGTTAAATATTCATTTTTTTTTAGAGAACGTGAAGAAAATAAATTAATATTAGGATAATAAATGTGTCGTATATATTTCCATGTTCTGACAATTTGGTAGGTTATATGGTTGTTTTGAGAAAATTGCGTGAGAACTTTCGTGTCGACTAAATTATAAACTCGATTTGTATTCAATACAGCAGTAGCTAAATGAGGAAAATGATCAAGTTGCTGGCGAATAATATGTTATTGCGGATAATGTCTATTTTACTCTATATATGATAATCATAAAGGTTCCGTTGATCCGGTGGAATTGTATTTATTTCTCCCATAACAAAGAATGACATATAAACATAATAAGTAAAGTATATGTTCTATGGTATACAACAATCTTTTGTTTTTAGAGTATGTATCGTTCCACGAATACAGTTAAAGAAATATTTCTCTTGACTTTTTTATTTATTAAACAAACAAAAACTATTTTTTTTAGAAAATTTTTTATCGATATTTTTGATCTTTTGGAGCAAATCGATTCTTGAATTTGTCGACTTTTGGTCGTTTTGACAGGGTATTGAACCATCCTGATCGAGTTAATTTTGCTTCATCGATGCATAGTTTTTTATTAGTAAGATCATTATCCACAGACATTTCATTACCAAGGATTCGAAACAGAAAATTTTCGTTTATTAATGATGATCATCAAATGTTTCAGTTTTACATCATAATCTTTGTTAAAATAATTCAAAAGTCGAAGACTACTAAAATCAAATTCTTGTATTGGTCTATAAACACCTCTCCATGGAAATGTATTTTTAACGTTTTCAGGAACAGGTTGGTTATTATCATGTAAATAAACCCAAGAGTCGATAGTTTTATTTTGAGCAATTTGTTGAATAGTGGGCCATTCAAGCAGTTGGCTTTTAGAAAATGAAGATAGACAAAATTCATTCATTACTGTTAAAGTATGGTGGCGAAATCGTGAACTAAAGATATTCGCATTCCAAAAAAATAATCATAAGTACAGAAAAGACACATTCCACTTTATCAAAATCATGCAAATTATATTTTTTATCGTTAAGAGCTATAATGAATTCTGCAGCCGTATCTCGTGCTTCGGAAATATTTTTCGCTTGATGATATTTAACTCTTAAATAAGGAGTGGGAAATGAATTCACATCAAGATAATGTAAGAGTTAAAATGTTTCCAATATATTTTCATCTTCAGGTAATTCATTAAATAGTTTATACGGTTGTTCAGATGTGACTGAATTAAGAATAACCATGAACGAAGTATAATTAATTCGAGGTTTTAATATATTATTCACCGATCTGGTTTTGAATTGATGAAAAATCATTTTTATTTGCTACAAGAACAGATAAATAAGGAATATGATCAAGTTGTTGTTGAGTGAGGTGAATATGTTTATCAGATTTGTTAAAACGAAATTTATATATGGGCTCTATATTTAAATTAATGGTCTCAAATACGTTTGTCATTGTGTGTAACGTTGATTTCACCAAATGATCAACTTCATTCTCACTACTGACAATGTTTATTGTGAAAAAAACAGAATAAAATGAATATTTACTTCCTTTTCATTCTTAAAATAATGAGTCATAAAAACATTTTAGTTTTTCTTTCTACCTAGCGGATATCGTCATCGACAACGCTTTGTCAACAGAATGGCTGAAGTTGTAAAAAATTAATCTGCACAAACACTGTTTTTAATGCAAAAGTATAAAGAGAAAAAGAATTTCGTCAAGCATGTGAATTTGAATAAACATTCTTTCAAGACAAATTAATAGCCGAATAACAATCTTTACTCTTATAAATTCATTAGAAACATTTTATGTAAACTAATTCATTTGCAACATACATATATACTGAGACGTATTTGCCTATTTATTATTCTTTTCTCTATCTTATTGATTGTTTAAAAAATATTTTTCATTTCTAACATTGGTTTGCATGATCATCGAATGCCTATTTTTTCTAAAAATGGCCCTTGTTTAAAGTAATCAAACCTTTATTGGATGAAAGCATAAATGAACCTTTGCTGAAATTATCAAATTATCTTCTAATATAATTACAACATTTCAAAAGAGAAAACTAGAAAAAAATTGTTGCCTAAAACATATTAATTTATTCCAAATATGCATCATTTCTTATAGAAACAAGTTCAATATGAATAGAATTCATGAATTCTATTTTCAATCAGAATCGTTTTGTTGACTGTAGTCATATACAATACGTATGGCTTGGCTAGTATAATTAATTATTCAAAAATTTCTTCTTCAATCAGATAATTTACTCTCGGAATAATATAGATAACTGAGGGTCTCTCCTTTGAATAGATAAGTATTTCTTAGAGATTCTGTGTTTCGAAGAGCAATGCCTCATTCTAATTATTCTTTGATGCATTACATTGAACGTAATCCATGTATAAATTGGTTATCGAAATGAAATCCATTTTCCATACTTTGATATTCCTAGATAAGCAGACAGAGTCGTACAGTTAATTTAAATAATGCAACATTTCATCCGAATTGCAATTCTACAATATTTAAACTAATTATTTGACATAACCTTTATTTTTCGAATAGAAAGAAAACTTAGTATATGTGTGCATTGTTTTAAGATAAAATATGACAAATAAAAGCAAGAAAAATATCAAGAAGAAATTGAAACAAGCAGAAGATTATTAAAATAGAGTAATTGTCTTTGTTTTTAATAAAATGAATTCATTTATTCGTTCAAAATTCTGGAATATGATTAATGTCAATATTCTTTTTATCAACCAAAAAGAACAGTTAGGCCAAGAATTGTAATGATAAAATTAGCTTCCTTAACTAGATTATTACTGCCACTAGTAGTGGTAACAGTAGTATTCCTGCCACTATTAGGAGTAACAGTGCTTGGAGCATTTGCTTGTACATAAAAAGTGATATCATGCTTTGATATTAAATTATAAGTTGTATCACGAGCTCCAATGCTCAAGTAATGTTCACCACTAATAGCTGTCCATCGAAATATGCCTGTATTCCGGTCAAATGTAGCATTAACAGGTCGATGTAATTCAAACAATTCGACAACATGCGATGGATATTCACTTGTTGCAGATATATTTAAAGACACTTGTTTACCCTGTGTCAAATTCATGCTAAGAGGAAGCGATGATTTGAATGAAGGTGGGTTTCTTTGATTCTTTTGAATCAATAAAAGTTCATTACCGGCCATCAATGATGCATTAGCTAAATTCATATCATTGGTCATAAATAAATCATAGTAACATGTTCGTTGAGCTAGATTCCATGATGAAGGTGAAGCGGTTGCATTTATATTGCAACTATTATGAATTGTGGAATTATTAGTTGTTATCGGATCAATAAATGATGCATTAAATACACGATTTTTTTCGCTGAAGAATTCAGGAGTTTGACCTGCTTCATAGTACAACAATGATGAAGATGGATCAATAGCCCAAGTAACACCAAAATTTTTATGAATTTGTTCAAGTGAACCATTACTACTTATGATACTTCCATTTTGACTTCGTAAATCATTATCTGTTCTTCCATCATAAGTACCTAATAGTCCGTATGTTTTACCACGGAAACGTCCAGCTATTGAAGCAGCTATATTAAGCACCAATTGTTTTGATGGTGATGTCATTTCAATCACATTTATTTCAATAGTCACACCAATGGTCCATGAAAGAGAGAAGTGTCTATTATTACCATCAAGTCGACTAATAGTCATTTCAGAAAAGTAAAGTATATGAATATTATCATCGAACTCAAGAAGTTCATTTCCATGGTGTAAAACAAGATGTTGACGACGCGAAACAGTTACTTTTACTGTTTCACTTTCGATATTGTTAGATCGAGCAGCAAAGCTTTTTGTGACGGTGGCATCATTTGACATAATTGGAATAGTTCGAATTTGTGACATAAATATATAAGATTGACTACTAGCATTGAAGGCAGCTGATGGCGATGTACTATTACTAATAGCTAGATAAATGTATTCTCCATAGCCGTTGAAAGTATACGAGGTTCCATCGAGTGTTCCGAAATGTGGATCTCCCCACATTCGACCACTGTCACCCATTGTATTACTACCTCTTCGTGGTGGTCGATAATACATATATGCATTACACGCTCCGTCATCTATAGTCATCATACAACATTGTAAGTAGGGTAAAGTATCATGAAAAAAATGTTGAACAGGTGATATTGTTTGATGATATCGATCATCAGTTCCTGCGCCTGTACCACGCGTAATTAACATTTGAGCACTATCATAACAACATTCTGCTCCAGCACGATGGTTATTTGAATATTTTGAAATATAACATTCGACAGCCGATGGTTCATCACGCCCAGAACGAGCTTTATGAAGCCAGCAATTATTCGGATTCGAACTACCATCGTAACATTGTCTATCAGGTTCATAACAACAACGACCAGCTGCTATTGCTTGCCAATGTGTCATTGGACACTGAAGAAGGCTATCACTATTCCATGTTGATGGTGCAGGTTGTTGCGCAGCCCAATTTAGACATAATCCGAGAGCCACTGATGAACGACTTCTAACGATCAGTAAACCTGTATTTAATCCAGCGTATATTTGAGCATTAAAGCGTGCAATTACTCGAATAAAGCAGGTCGAAATATCAGAAATACTCGAGGGTAATTGAATACGAACCGAATTAATAAGATTCAAATTTCGTACAAGTATTACTGGTGTATTATTTTTTTGTAATTGTGATTGAGAGTTGAGATTTACTTTCCATAATTCGATGTCGATTTTTGTACCATTAGGAAATGTATTTCTTACTATTTCAGAAAAACGCCATGTTAGTCTAACATATTTCCCAACTTCAAGTAAATTGTTACCACCTTCTATTTCAATAATTACTTCATCAGAACTGAATTGTAATGGAGCATATGTAAAAGTACCAGCTGAAATGAATGTTTGTCCATTATCAATGGATATATTCACTGGCACCGGTCCATGCACAGAAGCAAATGGTGTAAGACAACTAGCTCGAAATTCATCAATAATAAAACCATCGATAGTTTGTGATGAAGAACCAAATCGACATTTGACTTTTGTTTGATTTGTAAAACATGAACCATAAATATTGAGAGCTGTAGAGCCAAGTTGTGAACTAATGCGAGGACGGAAGGAAACCATTGTTACATTTTCATTACAACCACCTGCATTGATCTCGTCTGCGTCAACACGAAAAGTAAATAAGCCAGGTATATTAACATTACTCTCATTAACTAATTTTACAATATCTTCTGTGCCTGAATACGGAAGCATTTGTGATTTATTTCGATCACCATTGTGGATCCCTGCTTCAGCATAATAATACGATCTATTGGAAGGATTGACCCATTGAAGATCATGATAAAGAAAAAAGATAAAACTACGATCTTCATCTGTACATAATACAATTTGAAAGGTATTATTCAATGTGCTAGTATTATTAGTGCTGATACCGATGGAATACCAAGTGCCAGTAATTACCATTCTTGGTTTGAATGGGCGTTGTTGAGGAAAGAATTTTTGAACATAATCACTTGCTTTATTAAAAACTGCTACTGTGTTATTTGATACCGATGTATTACTATGAATTTGATAGTAAATTTCATTATCAGTATCATTGTCTTGACTCCAAATATATTCATGCCAAAGTCCGGC